ACATTGGGCAAAGGAATGCGACTATTAATCACGGGTGTAGAAATTGTACCGGCAACAATGAATCAAATCTTTATTTTCTCAATTTAGCATGCTTAGGTTGTATTTTTCTTGTTCTAGTTATTTTATTGATTAGCCGCTAGGGTTTGATTGTATGAATTTATGGTTTGCAAGAATTAAAATGAAAATGTAGTTTTTTAAAATTTTTTAAAAATAATTAGATAAAACGGATTTCTGAAATCCGTTTTAAGGAGTCCAAGACCTGGACTTTTTAAAACGGATTTCAATTATCCGGTGTAAAATTTATTAATTTTTTAAATAATAAGTTAAATTAGTAAACGGATCATTGAATTCCGTTTTAAAGAGTTCAGGTCCTGGACTCTTTAAAATGGATTTCAATGATCCGTTTTCTAATTAATTGATTAAGTAATACGGAAATTAGATATCCGTTTTTAGTTTTAATTGACTTCAGTCAAAAGTCCTCTTCTCTTTTCTTTTCATTTTCCTTCTTTTCCCTTTTCCCTTTCTTCCCTGTCCCCAACCCAACTCCGCCCCGGTGCCCTAATTTTCCGCCGGCCACAGCCCACTGGTCTCCGTCAATTCATGCCGGCAATGCGGTCACTAAACCCTAAATTCTCGTCGGACACCATCCTAATCAGAGCCCGCTTGGTTTTTTTTTCTTCGATTCTGCCGGTCGACCCCGATTAGGCTCCATACTTGAATCCACCTCCGGCGTTGAATCCACCTCCGGCGTTGAATCATCTGAGTCTCTGGTGCCCGTCTCGAAGCATTCTTGACTCCGTACTCCGTCGTCTCGAAGCATTCTTGACCCAGAGCTTTTTCTCCGGTGCTTTAACTGTGCCCGCTTCCAGGTAATGCCCTATGTTACTCCATACTTACTTAATAAATCTGGTTCTGTTTTAGGTTAATTCCCTTTTGATAATATGCCTTAGCTCTGAATTGCCTTCACTATTTCCTTGTTTCCAGTCTCAACATGTGTATCTGGCAATTTGATTTTAATGTTAATCCACCAATTCTGTTTAGGGTTCTTTTTAGGCTGCAAATTTGGTATTATTACAGGCTGTTTATGCTGAGAAATGCATTCTGATTGAACTGATTGAAATGGATTCTGATTCAATGCATTCTGATTATATAAGCTGCATTATGTGATGTAAATTTGTTTTCTAAAATTGAACTGCATATGTAAATGCATTCTGATTGAAATGCATTCATATGTGATGAACTGTTTCCCTGCTTATGTGATGTAAATTGGTGTTGTAAATGCATTCTGATTGAATTGCATATGTGATGAACTGCATTTGGTGCTGTAAATTTGAAATGCATTCTGATTGAACAGAAATGCATTTAAATAACAAGTTTTTTTAACTGCATTCTTTAGCCTTTTTTATAACTGCATTCTTCAGCCTTTTTTGGACAGAACTGATTGAACAGAAATGCATTCTGGTTCTGTTTTTTCTAAAAAAATTCACTGGTTGTTTGAATTTTGTTTGATAACAGAAATATGACTAGTTCCTCTTCGTTGCAAGCTGAAAAATTCACAAATAAGGGTCCGATCGAGCCCAACCTTCTTTACCTTCAGGGTGATCATCGATCTGATGCCGTTTGGAACAGTGAGCTGAAATTCATGACTGAACACCATAAATGTCGCCGAACGGATAATCTACCTTGGGAGCTGTACGCAATGAGCAATGACGCAGTTAAATGTTACGTGTCTCAAATGGGTTTCGGATACTTCCTCGAGACGGGTCTCATCCGATTAGACAACTCCCTTGTGACAGCCTTGGTTGAAACATGGCGGCCCGAAACTCATACATTTCACTTTCCAATGGGGGAAGCAATAATTACGCTCCAAGATGTCGAAGTTCTTTTGGGACTGAGAATTGATGGAAAACCTATAATTGGCCAAGATTCGCCACTAGTTGGGTCCCAATGTGCAAGGAGCTTTTGGGCTTCACACCCAAATTGAAAAAAGGGGCCAACCAACTTATAATCTCTTCGCTGCAAGATGAGTGTAAGTGACAACTTCCAGTAGATACCTCAGATGATGACTGCCAGAGAAGGGCTCGGGTTTTTGTTTTGTGGGCAATTGGAGGTTCACTATTTCCGGACTCAACGGGCAATACTGTGCCTTTGCTTTATTTGCCCTTACTGAAGGATTTTAAGTCTTGTAGAAAGCTATGTTGGGGGAGTGCATGTCTTGCTGTGTTGTATAATAATCTTTGTAAAGCATCAAAAAGGACAAAATGGGATATAGGTGGCTGCCTAATACTTTTACAGGTATAACTCGATTTTGAATTGTATTTATTTTATATTTTCCTTTTATTTATAATTTGTATTCCTTTTAACCTAACATCTAATTAATTTACAGATTTGGGCATATGAGCGAATCCCAAGGATACGCCCCAGGAGGAAAAACCCGGAGGACGACAATAACACTTTGGCCTTAGGTTCAAAGTGGAGGTGTTCATTAGATTTTTCAAGGGTGGCCTCCCACTGTCTCCCAGCACAACGAGATCAACTCGCGAGCCTTAGGAAGGCGGAAGATGTAAGCTGGATTTTTTTTATTTATTTATTCTGTTCTTTTATAGAATATTCTGTCCTTTTTAATTTTATTATATAAGCTGGATTTTTTTTATTTATTGCTGAAAGGTTCTGTTTAGGTTCTGCCCACAGGATTTGTAGGTTCTGTTTAACTTCTGCCCACAGGATTTGGTGCTGTAAATTTTAGGTTCTGTTTAGGTTCTGCATTTGGTGCTGTAAATTTTAGGTTTTTAGGTTCTGTTTAGGTTCTGCCCAAATTGGATTTTTAGGTTCTGTTTAGGTTCTGATTTTAGGTTTTAGGGTTCTGTTTAGGTTCTGCTTTTAGGTTTTGTTTGTCTTTTTTTTTAGGTATTCTGTTCTGTTTGGCTTTTTTTAAAATTTATAGCATTCTGTTTTGTATTTCAGTTTATTTGGCAACCTTGTAAAGGAGTGGAGATACCTAAAAGATGTACACTGGGTCGGAATCATTGGGCGATCAAACACTTGGTTAATTTGCTGGGAGATCGTTGAACAGCATTAAGTTGACCGTGTGATGCGACAATTTGGCTTGAAACAGTCGATCCCACCACAACCAATGATTGCTGGTTTCGAAGTATGGGAAAAGTTGCATCGGCATGGTAGGACTGGAATGCCTGGGGCTAACTGGGAACATCATCATCGTGAATACATCGCCAAATGGGACAAAAGGGCGGATACCATTGTGGCTGGATCTCCGGTTTGTGGTCAATCCTCAACCGATGAAGATTATCTCCCGTGGTATGACACCAATACCATCAAATTTATCAAGGATCCCAATAAGTACAACTTTCAGGAGGAAGGGTATCGTGAGCATTCGGATCGCGCAAAATTCTATGTAAAAATTCTTCTTTTAGGGTTTTGGTTCTGTTTTTTTTTTTTTTGGTTTATATTCTGAATTTTTAGGATTTTTAGCCTGTTGGTTCTGTTTCTTAGTTTATATTCTATTTTTTAGTTTATATTCTGAATTTTTATGCTTGCAATGGATGTTATGATGATGTTTCTGTTTTATTTATGATGATGTTTTTCTTATGACATGCTTGCTGATTTTGTGCTTGAAACGGAGAAAGGGGAATTGTACAGTGGATTTTGGTCAAAATTTGAGAGGGAAAAGGAAGGAAGTTTAGGACTGTTTGGAGCTTTTGCAATTGTAGTGAACAAGGACTTAGTTTAGGACTGTTTGTTTGTTCTTGTGGTTTCTCGCCGGAATTTTTCTTTTAGGGTTTTGGTTCTGTTTTTTTGGTTTTTTGGTTTATATTCTGAATTTTCATACTTTTTAGCCTTTTGGTTCTGTTTTTAAGTTTATATTCTGTTTAGGTTCTTATTCTGAATTTTTATGCTTGCAATGGATGTTATGATGATGTTTCTGTTTTATTTATGATGATGTTTTTGTTATGACATGCATTCTGGTTCTGTTTTGAATATTTATGATGATGTTTTTGTTATGACATGCATTCTGGTTCTGTTTTGAATAAAATGCATTAGGTTCTGTTTTTTTGAACTGCATTCTGGTTACTAAATGCAGCATGCTAGTTGCTTCCTTAGTTTCATGCATTCTGTTTTTTTATTTTTTAATGGTTAAATTGATTCCAGGCTGATGCTTTGAGCGACGTCTGCACAAAGGTAGAAGACTATTCTGCGTCAAAAGAGAGGTGCCAAAATTCAGTTTGTATGGATCTCCTTCTTGAACTCGTTGCTCATGCTATGAGTGCTTTATCCCTTGAAGCACATGAGTTGCCAATTTTGAAATCCACCCAATCGCTTTTTGGTATTACACCACAACCTTCTCAACCGGTTGGCAAAGTTCGCAAGCGAAACATTCCTCACCATGGGATTGGAGGAGGCAGGAAGAAAATCGTGGAAGAAGAAGAAGATGAAGAAGAAGAATATGATTTTGAACTCAATGCCGATTTGTTTCAAACTCCAACCCCCCAAAATGAAGCCGAAGTCAACCAAGGAGGTGAACCTACAAGTATGGATGTGGATGTTACACCACTATTGAAGCAAACTACTCTACCTTTGGCTTTAGGAAGGCCGCATAGAAAGATAAAGAAAGTCGACCGCTACATGCCATCCACAGCCCAAGCCAAGCCATCCCTAGAGGAGGAATAATTCCTTCATTTTGATGTTTACCTCTATTGATGAATGTTAGAACTTTTGTTGATGTAATTGTTTATTAACATTTGTTAGAATTATAATATTTTGTTCAATTGATGTGTGAGTTTAGGGTTTATATTAATACTGCTGTCTTGGTGTTGTTTGCCTTCTGGTTTATATTCTGTTTCTGTCTTTTTAACAGGATTAGCAAAGCAGGCTAATTCTGTTTTTTTTATGTCTACTGTCTTAAAAACGGAAATTCGGCATCCGTTTTTAATTTTCTATTACTTTTAACCAAAAACAGAATTTAAATTTCCGTTTTATATTTCCGAAAAATATTTACTTCACAAATTTTTTTCCCATTTCCTTAAATCAAGATTTACTAAAACAAAAACGAAAATGTTTAATCCATTTTTATTAATCAAAGTAATTATCAAATCCTAATCCTAAAGAAACAGAACTCGCAAATCTGTTTTATGAACAGTTCATAGGAAAATGGAAATTCCTTTTCCGGCACATGTTTTTTCTGACCACTCCCAAATTTGTGTTTATATCAGTCCACTACTTCTTTCCTGGACATATTTAGGTAAATGACACAAAAAGAGCATGCACCACTCCATTCACATGTAAATTACAAGTTCTACTGTACACAGGTGTTAGACAACAGTTGAAACATAATAAAAACTGCGGAACTTGTTCTTACGAAAACTTGACCAGGACTGCTCCTTGCGAACACTTCATACACCACTCATCAGGACAAAAAAACCTCTAAAAGGGCCTGATACAATACAAACATGTTACAGACAACATGCTTTGCTGTGCTGCACTCATTCGCTCAATATATCATGGAGAACCAGCAAAAGAAGTCAATGATCTGATGATGGATTTATATACTTTGATTCCCTCCAAGAACACACTATCCTTCAGAAACTGCCAAGACAAATTCAGACACTCAATCAGAAAGGGAGAGGTTGCGACAAGCTAATAACAAAACGTTGTTTCCATGTGTATCTCTCTGTACCTCATTGTGGTCATGCAACAATATGGGAGTGTTCTTCATAGGTGAGAAGCCTAACGTAGGGATCCCTAGCTGTCTCATGAATCGCGCATCGGTAGTTGAAGCCAAAATCTCCGGCTTCGCCAGTTTACCACTGGCTGCAATGACAGCATCTTTGAAAACAGACCACCATGGGTTCGAATCATTCGTATGAGTCAGTAACGGCCGTCCCAGGTAGTCCCTTAGAGGTCCTTTCTCGGTAATCTGCATTATAAGAAGAAAAAGTTGCCATAGGGCATACGAACAAGCAACAAATAACAACACAGAAAAATGCAATCTTCGCAATCCCCACAGTCATCCTCTCTTTCTTTCTTTTTTTTCTTTTTTTTGCTCTGTGTATGAAGAAGTGGATAGGGAAACCAGGAAGAAGATAGAGAAAAGGCAAAACAGAACCAAGGTCCGTCTTTACTCTTGCTTTTCATCCTTTATCACAATAAGCTTAAGGATGCACGTTGCTTCAAGATTTATTTAGTTTTGGTCTAACAGCTCCATAAATCGTAGGGTTCCAGTTCCGAAAAAACTAATCAATAGATTATCAGATGCAAGAGCCAGGGCTTCATCTCAATCTTAATGAAGTCATGGATATAATACTAATAATAATGAAAAAAAAAACTTATTCGCTGGATTTTCAAAAGAATCTTCATATAATTATTTTATATTATAAGCTGTCTGGTGAAGGATGAGGCTACAGAAATTGAAACGAAGGAATTCCAAATGACCAATCGATTCATGATTAAACATGAATAAAAATCTACAGATTAGAAACAAGATTTATCTCATAAAAAGAAAATAAGAACAAAGCATGAGAAAACAACAATAACCACTATGCTTGTATCTTACTGTGAAAGTCAAATTTGGATAGTCATGCTTTGTCAAAGCAAAGCAAATACACAGATTTCATGATTGAGACCTACAAGAAAGTACTTACAATGACATAATATATATGAACCTGATGAAAGCTTATTATTCTCATAAAAACCAGATAGACAGGATCTATATGTAACTCTACACTTAGTTGCCATAGTTAAAACGAGTATAAGTGCTGAAGTTCATCAGAAACATATGAGCATACTATTTCCCCATCTATTCTAGCATAATGGAATTTACAGCGATTCAAATGGATAGAGAAATGTTATAATATCAATATAGTACATTGAGAGAGAAATAGGTGATCTAGTCAAACTCCCCCTGCATGCCAATTTTCAGTTCACAGTTCAATAAGCCAAGAAACCAAAGCATTAATCAGCTTCAGATCCTTTTGAAACTTGCTAAATGATAAGCAGGTTAAGAAAGAACTAAGGAAGGAGCTGGAATCTGGAAAATTCTAGAGAACAGAAGCTCACAAGGGAAGCTTCTCAAAAAAGAGTGTATGTTGAAAAGAACATGCTTCATGATGATTGTGGCAGGAAATAAGAGAAATACTTTAAGGACTTAACTGAATAAGGTCTAAGGAAGCCAAAAGTCTGTAGGAACGGAAGAAGGGAGGAAAGCGACAACAACATCCTGTTGCAACTTCAAGTTTCGGAAAATTATAATGTACTCTGAACATGGTGGACATCTCAAATACATCACATAAGTTGAGAGGTTCAGCTGTAGCTAAAGGTTAAAAATAAAAAGATTCATTCTTCCTCAAAGGAATAATGCATTAAGATCCAGCAGCGGGGGGAAGCTTAAACACGCCGATACTATTTACTAATAAAATTTAGTAGTATCATAACGTATTGGATACCAGCAACCTATTCTTCATGCTATTCTGAAAACTAGTCTTCTTAGCTCTTTTCATGGGGTTGGTTACAATGGCTTACATGGAGATTTCCACCCGACCTAATCATCAGCTTTGAAAATTTCTGTTCATTCAGCATAAATGAAGCAGCTTGAGGGACTAAAAGCTCAGTGATGCTCCAGGTTTTACACACACTCTCAGTAGAAACCAATATCGGAATTTTAAAATGTTATGATTACTTCAATGGAAATCTACCTGCTGACACTTTTAATTTTAGGTTCTAATACCACTCAATACTGGAAATGAAAACAGAAACAATTGAAAGTTATACGAATGATTTCCATGAGAAGACAAAACTTTTCAATGCTCAATTGAGTTTCCCTTCGCAAGTTGCTTGCATTGAACACTTCAAGAAGATGAGAAACTTGCGAAATGCAGGAATCTGTACCTAATCCTGGTCAATTTTGATTGTACAAGGGTTCAAAGAGACTGAAGTGCCTATTGTGATTGAGCAAGCTTCGTCTGGATCTTTGTTGTCTATGGGTGGTTACGCTTATGGTGGTGGATATATGAGGCAGCTCGTGGGGATAAAAGGATTTAATTCATGCATTCAGCTGAAAGGTTGTTTAATTACAGTTCAATTATGGAGGATCGTGGCACCACAATCACCTTAGGTTAACTAAACACATGCACTAGAAGACGCTACAGCTCAGAGCCCCGGCCAAGCTCGTATGCTTTCTCCGTTTATGAAAAAATAGGGATGAACGGCATGTCCCTAACCATCACATCTTACAGAGAATGAAACTTGTTCAAGACTTACAAAAGTTTCCTTAGTGCGAATCTTGTTAATGTCTAAATATGTTAATCACCTAATGAATATTTGATTAACACCCATGATTCAATAGGAATAATTCATAAAAGATTGCACGGACAAGAAAAACACAAAAAGGAAAACTGAGAAAAACTGGAAACCTGTCGACAAATGTCAAAACATTATAGAGAAAGAAGGCTGGGGTCTTTACCTTAAACGTCATATTTCTCCAAGCAGGTGCCCATTCCTCCGCAATCCTTCGCCTCAGGGAGTCAGGGTCAGCAGTTGGCGGAAGCCTCACATCAAATCCTGCCTCTGCCTCTGAAGGTTGCATGTTCATCACAAATCCCTGCACAGAATAATCCAAACACAACAGTATCACGGCTCAATCCCAATGGAAGAGATGCACCTAAGCACCATTACGACAGCTAAATAATGCACATGAACACATGGTACGAAAACATACAGTAGGGGAAGGAGTGCCGGCATTCAGAAATACAGGATTTGCGGAGATAACCTCGGAGTTCATGGCCAAACCAGCCTTAACCTTATCAAACTCAGCATCCCTAAACTTATTAATAACCTCAATACTCTTCATCAAGTTCTCCATAGCACAATTATCATACATTCGTGATCCATGGCCAGGGATTCCCACTGCCTTAATCACAATATGCCAGGGCGATCTGTCGGCATAAAACACTCTGTACTCATCCCCAGGCGAGGCCTGTCCCTCATCCAACACAAACCCAACATTAAGCTTCTTAAATTCTTCGGACTCAACGAACTTAGCCATCCCATCAAAACCTCCAGTCTCCTCATCCGGGACAAAAGAAATGTGAAGGTTGCGGAGCGGCCTAAATTGATTTTCCTGACTGAGGCTTTTGATAGCTTCCAAATATTGAATTCCGATACACTTGTCATCTTGAGCTCCCCGAGCAAAGATTTTACCGTCGCCAGCATAGTGAGCGGAGAAAGGAGGATGAACCCACTTGTGGGGCTCCGCGGGGACGGAATCCAAGTGAGAGTTTAGAAGGATGGACGGAAGAGTCGGGTCAGAGCCAGCCCAAGTGAGGAGGAGCAGGGGTTTATCTTTCTGGGGTGTGAAATAAAGGACCTCGGATTGGAGAGATGGGATTTCTGATGACAAGTTCAGAAGGTAATTAATGGCGGAGGTATAATCTGGGGTGGGATGTGCAGTGATGATGCGAAGGTATTCCCGGAAACGAGTTATTGGAATGGGATCGATAGGGGGGTCTGTTGATTGATGATGGTTTTTGGCTGCTGACGGAAGGAATACCTCCAAGAGCAATAAGAAGAAGACTGGTAGCGCTAGACGACGGCGATGGTGGTGCCGGGACATTTTTATCCTAACTGGGGAACTAATGAATAAAATAATTGAGGCAGGAGAAGTGGCCGTATCAAATGGGCACCATGCAGTTCAATGGCTTGGGAACTGCTTGGCCCCCGGGGCAGCCGGAAATGGACCGTAAAGCAGGTTCGCAGGTAAAGTAGCTCTAACCAGTTGGTTCGCCCGGAGCTGTGATTTGAGTGAAAAAAAAAAATCTGCGCGGAACCAAAAAAAAGAACACTGTCCCCTGAGAGATTCGCGTGAGAGAGAGTGTAGAAGAATCCAAAGAAAGTAGTGCAGGAACACGTGGGTTGTTGTGATTGGGTAGAGAGTCAAACCTTACCGTGGCGCCAACACTAATGAAAGTCATGCAGCTTCGCAGATTGTCCCCTCGTGTGGCACACGCATGTCAATTCACCAACTGTAATAAAACTTGAATTGCTGCTTTCCATAAACAAAACTTCCATCCTTCCTAAAAAAAAACACACACACACAGTCACACAGTCCCACATCAAGCTCCTCAAGTGCCAACCTTTATTCTCTAATCAACTCTGTGTGTGTGTGTGTGTGTGTGTGTTTTAGAGTAATGATGTGGAAGATGAGAAGTTGTGGGTTTGGGGTTCCAATTTTGGTTGTTTTTTTAGCTGTGGTGGTACCCACTGTAAAATCCGTATGGTTGGATGTACCTTGGGAGGGAGTCAAGTGTGTTTCCGAGGACATACGGAGGAGCGTTGTGGTTTTAGCTGATTACTATGTCATCCCGGATGAAGATGATGGTGGTCATCATGCTAATTTCACTCCTGCAATCTCAGTCAAGGTCAGTCAAAACTGATTGTCTCTTCTGTTCATTCAGTTGGTTTTTGTTCCAGCTTGACTAACGAACCCAAATTTTTTATTTCAAAAATTAAATTCTTGTGTGATCGAAATTGCGAAATTTTTAGTTGTGTGTACATCATGTGGTCTTTGAAATTTGGGGAGTCGAATCGGAATAATGGTAATCAGATGTCCTTAACAAGCCTTACCTGTTCACATTATTTTTATCATGTGTTTACCTTTTGTAGTGTCTCGTTTGTTGACATTAGGCTTAGAGTTTTAGGTGTGGGGGGGATATAGGACTTGAGTGAACTTATATGAAGCTAAAGATCTCCCTCTGACCTAGATCATATGTGGAGCAAGCAGTTTTCAGACAAGGGATACAAGGGAATAGATTTTGTATATTAAAACTCTGGAAAATCAGGTGAAGAATGGCCATTAGTCTTTTCAATATGGTTGGAGCACATCCTCTGATCTTGGAATTGTAATTTGCCTTTGTGGCCTGGTTTTGAAAGCATGAGGGGGAGTCCTTTCTGAATTGACTACTAACTTGAACACATAATGGAAAAGTGGTGCTGAATTGATGAGTTCTTGGCATACAAGACCGTTCTTGTAAATTGGAGAAGCCGTAAGTTACAGGTTCTGAGGTTCAAATATAACGATGCTTCGAGCTAGCTGGTGTTTGCAAGCCTGAATGGAATGAGCAGGATCTTAACATTATCTTGTCGAAACAACGTGAGCTGATGTTTACTGTTTGTGTTCTTCTTCAATCAGGAGGTAGTCCCGTTAGATACATCACATGTTTCCTTATCCATAACACCATATATATGCTAGTGATTGTTCATTTATTGAGTTCCAAAACAAAAGGAAAATAGCAATTGGTGACATTGAAAGCTAAGCATCTTAAGTCAATGGCCAAACAGCTACCTTGGTTTGTCTTGAATGGGTTCACTTGAACCTCTCTCTCTATAGAGGGGCAACATCTCACCGGAAAAGACAACTTCAAGAATCCAATGGACTATTGGTCTTCGAAGCTGCTGAATGTTTACTTGTTTCTGCTATGAACCTCGCATCGATATCATCATCAAACTACTTATTGACTGTCTGCTTGTACATGTGTCTGCTTTTTTTTTGGTTATACAATAAGAGGTTTTTTATTTGTACTAGTTAGAAGGTATTCATCCCAAATTTAGCTGCCTGTGAGAAGGTTTTTAACGACTTACATTTGTCTGATGTTATCTGTATGAATTGGTATATCCTGTTAGGTGACATCTCCATATGGGAGCAACATTCATCATGAAGAAAAAGTGACACATGGCCAATTCGCATTCACAGCAAGTGAAGACGGTGATTATGTGGCATGCTTCTCAGTGGTCGGGGAGCACAAAGGAGGCAAAGGCGCAACTGTTGGTATTGACTGGAAGACTGGAATAGCAGCTAAAGATTGGGAATCAGTGGCTAAGAAGGAAAAGATTGATGTAAGTTTGCTACAAATCATATCTGTCACCCGTCCTTGAAAGATGTCTTATACTTGTTTAATCTATACTTTTTGAATGAATTTAGGGTCTCGAACTTGAGTTGAGTAAACTTGAAGGGGCCGTGGATGCCATTCGAGAAAATTTGATCTATCTTAAGGAAAGGTAAATGTAATTGATGGCATGGTTTTGTACCATTCATTGTCAATATTAACTCTGTTCAGATAACTTCCAGACCTCAAAGAATCAGTTGATCCAATCTATGTAGTGACTGGGTTTTCTGTTGTGCCTATAGGGAAGCAGAGATGAGGGTAGTGAGTGAAAGAACTAATGCAAGAGTTGCCTCGTTCAGTATCATGTCCATTGCTGTTTGTATCATGGTTTCACTTGTACAAGTAGGCTATCTGAAACGTTACTTTCAAAAGAGAAAGCTTATATAGGATCCAGGTGTTGTACAGTTTCTACTCTGAGTTTTGTGCAATACTTACGAAAATTTGAGTATCTTGTAAGCAGATGTAAACACGAACATGCCTTTGAGCTTTCAGAAAGTACAGAATGCATTCGAAATTTAAGAAATCCACACGTTTGAGAATTCGCGAGTTAGCTTGGTCAAGAATAATCTCACTGTGAAAGTATACAATATATTGAATTAGTAAAATGAAAGAATAAATGATGCGATCATGAAGTTATCAACCATATCCGCTGTATCACAACATGAAAGATGAGGAGAGTATTCTTCCTAGTTACATCTCTACTTAACCAGTGCTTGTTTGTCGCCCGATTGTTGGAAAAAGATGAACTGATTGGGGTTTAGTATGTTGATGCAAAATGTGCAACTAACTGCTCAATGCAGCAGCAATTTTCTTTTGAATCAGCTCAACTCCAAGACGAGGGGATAATCTGGGTAAGTTCACCTGCGAGCAAGATCAGCAGAAACGTTAGTTTTAGCTTCAACATTTTCAACTTACTACCAGCTAAAAAGAACACAAGAAAGAACAATAAAACGAATCCACAAATGCACTTCAATATCGATATAAAGAATATACATTCATAGTAAAACTTGAGAATAAACAATCAGAAACTCGGGTTAATTTCAAAACTTGTGATTACCAAAATGGTGAATGATAATTGCAAGGTAAGGCAAATCACCAAGAACACCATTCACAGAAGATAACACAATCAATATATGAGCCATGATTGATATAGATTGCTAGATTATCCAAGTTCTGAAAATCAAGAATCATGGAGTGATGTTGACCAAAAAAACAGAATTAACAGATCCACTTTGGAGCTTATTCCAATGGAGGAATTGTCAGCAATTTTATGTGACTGCATTACCTTTCGCTCTAAATCTTAGTTAGCATGACAAATCTACTTGGACAAAAATCATAATTTAGCAAATACCAATTCGAGAATCGACAAAAACATCAAATAGCCATGTTTTCATAAAATACGGACGTTTTTCCTCAGCATTCTCATTTTAGGTATGGGAAATGCAACGAGAGGGTAATCGAAACACCCAGCATTCAGAAGAGTTGAAAACTTTGTAAGAACTAGCAACAAATCAGCAAGGAAGATGATAAACAGAAGTAATATTTTCTTTTGTTTTTAAGGAAAAAAAAAACAAAGGCTCTGACCTCAGTGCCATCAGGACGAAGTCGGGCAAGAACAGGAATCTCGTATTGATAAGAATTCTCCCAGTCAGGATTAGTAGTGATATCTCTTACCTGTCCCAAGCAAAAAAAACAAATCAATCAAACAAATATATGTTGTAATATGCTGCATCATAGGGTGGAATAAGAATTTGTAAGTGTGTGAGTGTGTGTAATTCTTGTACCTCTAATTGGACGTCATGAAGGGAAAGAGGGCCGGCGAGGGAGAAGGCAGCATGGAGTTTTTCTTTGAGGCCATCGCACAAACAGCAACCGGGCTTGGAGTAAAGGATGAGTTTCCTTGAAGATGGAGGAGCGGATGATGACGACGATGCAGAAGCGGAGAAACCTCGTGGAAGGGACAAGTTCCACCTCAATCTCACGGTGGCCGGAAATGATGATACGGCGGTGGTGGGTAGAGGGGTTCTTGCTGCGGCCAATGTCGCTGCAATTCCACTCGCCATTTCTGTTGCTTTCCCCTTTTTGTTTTGTTCAATCAATTTTGTCACCAGAGGGGAATTTTTTTTAATTCGTAAGGTCTTAAACAGCAGGTATGAATCGGTTGTGGTGCATTTCAGCCCATTAACGGAGGAGTATCGGTCCAGTATCAAATCTATAGCCCAGCCTCTGTACACTACATTTACGTAGCCCAGGAAATGGTGCAATCCTTGAATTTCATTTAAAAAATTATGGGAAAAGGTTTAGTTTCCCAAGTAAAGAAAATTATTGGATTGAAGTTCATATTAGTGAAGTTGCTATGTTTGGATCATTTTGTCGGTGTTTTTAGATATTTTTTGTATTAAGAATGTAAAAAGGTGCATTGGAAATGTAAAATGTTATACTGGGATTGGACAGTTATTATTTAATTATTTTGCAAAAACCATCAAAAAGTTATGATGATTCGGTTTGGTTTTTCATTTTTAGTATAAAAACAAATCCAAAATGAACAATTATTTTGGGATTCACGGAGAAATAATAATTAATTTAGAACATTAAGCACGTGATATAGAAATAAATGAATTTACACAAAATGCAATGTGTAGTGGTGTTAAAATGGTAGGAGCTAGTAGATGAGGAGAGACATGAAGATTCTTTGAGAAGACGGACGTGCATAGAATTTATGCGTTGACATGCATGCTACATATTGGAAGTCGGAGCCACGAATATTAAGGAATCAGTACTGCTACTACTACTACTACTACCAAAAAAATAAATAAATAAATTCATTTGCATCATCTAAGATATAACTCTCACATGCCAATTTAATTTACAGGGAATATTCTGTGAACAAATATTAATTTCATTCATCTCCTGCTTCAGCTAAGTTTCTTATAACCGTTTCCATATTGTATTAGTATAATTTGTGTTTCATTCAGTGTGTGATTTCATCTCAAATTATTATTAACTTGGAGAATTAATGTACCTATTTCGCACAAAATACTACTCCCTCCGTCCTATAATTATTGTCCAGTTTGAGTTTTCATTTCTAATTTAAATTGTACTAAAAGTAAAATCTCAAACTGGATAATAATTATAGGACGGGGGGAGTATTTTGTAATGACCACCCACCACCCACTTCACTTTCTTTTGATACAAAATATCGATCCCATTTCTTTCATAACTATACATTTGTCAGGTTTTAGAGCATTATTCGCGGATTTTCTCTTACACATATTATTAAGAAAAAAAAAAGCGATTATAGCCACACACCAGAGCATAATTATCTGCCGACTTTTAAAGTACGTGAAACACACCATATATATATATATATATATATATATATATATTTTACTAGAATCGAATTCGTAGCAAGCTAGCTAGGTGCTACACATATTCTTTTCTTTTTTTTTTCTTTTTCTCAAAATTAAATCAAGTCATGTCTTTCGTTTTGATGCTGTAAGTAAGTGTCGTTTCGGGTAGTCAGTTCATTGCATCCTATCTATCTATAACCACGTTTCTTTTCTTTTCTTTTCTTTTTTTTTTTTTGTAAATAATTTCCTCACTAAAAGTAAACGAGTTAAAAGTGTCTTTCTATATATATATATATATATATATATATATATATATCTATACATTCTCATTGAAATTCCGGATTGAGTATGGAATGAATGAATATGATGCTGCTCAATGAGACCATCAATAATGGCCCACAACGTACAAATGGGAAGCACTCTGTCCTGGTTTCTCCCATTCAAATTTCGAGTATGCACGTACTATATACGTAGCACATTTCTGTTTGGATTTTTATTCATTAGATAGTAGTACAAATTGCACTAAAAATTTATAAAATAAGTTGAATAATTATTTCAGAACATAAAGTGTATAACAAGTTGGATTTATATGTTCGCCACAAAATATGTAGTGTTCATCATCGAACTAGATGTGATTGAATCACGGTTAGTTTAGGGAGTAATTCCTATGCGCGAGAAGAGATTGTGAATCTTTGGTTATGTATGTATGTATGTATGTATCGGTCCAAACTAATCTTGGGCGTAATGTTTCCAACATACTACTAGTATATTACTTCTTCCGGTCCTTAATATAAGGTGTTTTGATTTGTCCTATATTTCACCTAATACGTATTTTTAATTGGCAAAAAGACCTTAAAAATATTTTCTAACTATTAGGAAAACATAACGAATGTGAAAATATATCATTAATGTTTTTTCTTCAATTAAAAATATATATTAGATGAAACCTATGATAAATCAAAATATCTTATATTAAGGACCGGAGGGAGTACTAACCAACTGCTAGGGCTGGATCTTTCTTGCTAGCTGCTTCATCTTTTGGTTGATTGATCAAATAACTAAACTGGTGCTGTTTTTTTTTTTTTTTTTTTGCCTGGGTTGATTAAGTGCATCAGATTTTTTAAACCATATATAAGCGGAACACTGAACTTTACCTTTGGGAAGTAGTACTTCCTACTACTAAATCTTGAAAATCTGATCTCTGTTGCGGCTGCTCCGGAAAATGCAGACATAATTATTCCATATTCCCACTTGTTACATCATCTACTGCTTGGCTGCAGGGACAAAGATTTCCATGTTATGCTTCACATTAGTGAATCCGAATCGAAAGTTCTAATGGCCGATGGATATCATGATGATCCATCCCCACCAAAAGCCTAAATTAATATACCCTTCCCGTTGCTATTATTGTATCAGCCGATATTTTTTTAGAACAAAAAATCTTACATTATCTGAGTGTAAAATCTAAATTAATCCTGTATGTAATTTTTTGTTAGTCACCTTACTCATTACTAATTGACATCGGGAATCCAAATCACCAAAAAGACATATTCTACTTCATCTGCTCCAACAATTTATTTTGATATTCAAATAAGCTTCATTCATGCCAAATCATTTTGGTACGTACCTAGCTGTCGATCCAGCAAACTTTTGTTGAGTACTCATCAACGAGCCAATAAATGATTAATGGTATAGAAAACTACTCGCTCCATCTCTTTCCCCTCCACCAAAAGGGAAAAAAAAAAAAGAAAAAAAGAAATACCCAATCACTTAAACTCTGATCAATATATAATTTTTTTTTTACTATTCTTCTTACTGTTAATTAGTTTTGAGATAGAATCTCAAATGTATTTTGATTTCTATGAGCAGCTTAAAGGGAAAGTTTTAGATCATTTTTTTTCCTCCGGTCAATTCATCTACATTACATGAGAGCGATCATTTTATTTGATCAACTATTCTTAATAAAAGGAGGGTAGTTTTCACCAGCCATTATGGTTTGCAAAAAGAAAAAGAAAAACATTAAGAAAAGAAGAAGAAGATTTATAGCTTTGTGTAATAGTATCTAGGTGTATATGGAGCAAGGCCCTAGATAATGCAAAAAAACCAGCTCCTCAATTAAGACAATTTGTGTTGCATTGTTGATTAAGTGGCTCCCAAGTGTAAGGCGAGTATCCGTATTGGAATCTTAGCCACAAAAGCACCTTCTTTTCTTTCAATAAAGTTGTCCCCAAAGTGCTCTAATGCTTGTAAAGAGCCACTCAACTTCCTCAATGACTTCCACACCTCAATTACAATATCAAATAATAATTACTATAATAATAGTAAGCACTCTTGAAAGTTCCAATTCTTAATTTCATAATAAAGAAGAAAAAAAGTAGCTTTTTTTATTTTTCTTTTTTCAGTGTGATAGATTATGGTGCACTGCTAATTCTTCACGACAATACTACCTCCACTTTTTAGCCTGTTGGTTTTAGAGAGTTTGTATACATTTTCGACCTATGTTTTAAAAACCAGATCGGAAGGTAAACTATTAACGTGATCGGATTGGTGGGTTCACCGAGTTAATCGGTTAGCTCGTTCTTCAAAACTGGTGAAAATTGATTAAAATAATATTAAATAATAATTTAAAATTAATTTTTAAAAGATAAATATATAAAAAATTAGTTTAAACGGTACAGGTTTCTAGTCGAACTGCGATTTTATCTGAATTTACCGAATTTTACAAAATCTGATTTTTTTTTTTTATAGAAACCGGACGGTTGAGGATTCTGGTTCCCGGGCTCATTGGTTTGACCGCTCGGGCCCGGTTTTGAAAACATAGTTTTCAACCCAAGATTAATTAATTTCTAAAATGACAGAGAGTAGAAATTATATTTTTAATCATTGATTCGTCTATCTTTAGGTATAGAAAACCTTAAAGTGGCAAATTAAAAAATGGAAGGAGTAACTAAAAAGGGTTAAGTGGCTACTCGTTTTGTTTGCATTTGGGTGATCTTTCGTATACAACTAATATCTTTCTACAAATATTACATGTACCTGAAAGGCCAAATTTTTAAAATACAGTAGAATCTCGAGTTTCTTTCAAAACTTGGATTCCTCCTAATTGCGGAATCCATCAAAATTCAGCTTGGAGATGAAGATACGTACTGGATTCCTTTTCCTTAAAGAAATTCCCCTTTTGAAAAGGAAAAAAGACATTTTACCTTGAGATAATCCAACATGTATATAATGCGCATATTCATTCCTACATTAAAATTATTGTTTGTTGCGTACTAGTAGAGTGATCAATATATATACTCCACATCACATGATCGAATCCAATGAGTTAGTATGACCTGAAGCTAATTAATACGTTAAGAATTCCAATTCATTTTTATTCTTTTAGGTAAGGTTTGATATTAGCTCGAAGCAAATTAAATAGACTTAGTGAGATTTTGCATTTCTGAGGGGGATCTGGCTTCTCACGTCTGAATCCTGAAATGACAATTATTGATTAATTAGTATCATACTGTTTACCACCCCCCAAATACAAATCCTTAATTAATGGACACCACACATTTACCCTTACATCTACAAGAAATGAAACCAAGAGATTCCATCCAAGTCACGGTTCATTTGTGATTGTACTAGTATACATGTTACATGGCCAATGAATGACATATATCAAAGATTTTAAATAAGCTAGTGCCCCATAAGTTCATTACATAGTAATTACTATCTAATGATTACAAAAGATGACATCAACATTTAGATGTAACACCACTAATAATTGAACGAAAGATTCCATTTTAAAATCATTCCTAGGTTTCTTAATCACTAATTAATAATTAATTAATGTTTTTGCTAACAGTATTTATGCAACTGAAGATCCAAAGACCTCCAATTTCTTAAGAAATCGACGCATATGCCATCTTCAGCACCATATACGATCGATGTACACGATGTGTTATTCAGCTTGGATTTTTATTTTATTTTTTGGAATTATTTTGTCACTTGTAAACAAAACTCTCGAATTTGTATTGTTGTTTAAAATAGCTTGAAACATCAATTTTTTACTTTGACAATAATATCATCCGAAGAAATTTTCTTCGCTTTTAATCTAGACCTTGATATGTACATGTTGTTTGTCATTCTCACCTTCCTCTTTTGAGCGATCAGAAAGCAGCCATTTCCGTTCAACGTTTGAAAATGGCTACTTTTATCAAATCCTACACAGTTGGAATCCCAGCTTCGGTGCATCTTAGATCCCTTGTCCTTTATTATTAGTTTTCGTGAAAGTTATTTCTTTCGATTACAGAAATTCTGAAAAAAAAAAATTATTGAAACTTCATGGGTTTGCTTTAATAACTTTATAATATAACCATACGTAGAAGAAAAATCAATAAAGAAAAAGTGTGTGAAAGAGAAATTAATTAGTTCTAGATGTCGAAAGCGTTGTACCTTATAACAATTTAAAAGAAATCGCACTTTACATGATTATTATTATAGACCGGATTCTTATTTTAAATTGTAGCTAACTAGCTAGCTATGGAGTATCTATAGGTCTGATTGCCCGTACTGCCAATATGAACAGGAAAGTTACTAGAGCTTTTCTTCATCATTATTATTTATAATAATAATTGTAGTTGATTAAGGAGGTATTATTGGTTAATGTTGATACCCTTTTCATGTTTTTTAAAAAGGCTTTGGCTTTATGTTTTCCTGATCTCTTTCCATTTAGGCTTTATATATGTTCTACTGGGCAAATAATACATGTTTTCTTTTTTGCGAAGAAAAAGCAATGATTTTGATGCATAAATGATAAGGATATAAATAATAAAACCAAATAATTCTTCAATAATTCTTTTCTTCTAAGACTGTGGTCTGAGCGAGAGAGAGAGAGAGAGACAAAATAGGAGTCATACAGTGATACAACTGCAACCCAAGTGCATGCAAAAGAATTCGAAAACGCTACTTGTTTTTTTTTCCTTCACAAAATTTTTGTTTTTTAATTTTTAATCCCAAAAAGGAATTGGAAAACGCCATAAAGAGTATTGATGTTCGTCTCTTACTTTACACAATGTGGTCTTTCTAGTCTTTAATGTAAAAGAGAACCATTTATAGGTTTTGTTTGAGTGCAAGATTGGAACCCTACTATAACAAGCAAATGCTATGAGGGTTTTTATCATTAATTAGTTTGGCTTCTATACATGATGAACCTTCAAACGTCATTAATCGCATCACTGCTTTTTTTTTTCTTCTATTTGAAACATTCAGGATAAATGAATCTTTGGACTTAATTTGCTGAAGTTTCCTTCGTCTTTCGCGCTATATGTTTTGAAATTGTTCATATAGTCATGAATTCACGTACGGCTACATATATTGTGTAATTTTCAGAAGATCAAATAATATCAAAGGTAACGATTTTGGAAGACAGGGTGCGATGCGAGACCAGTTCCAAGTAAATGACATACCATCTTTAATGCGCATGCGGAGGATGTATCCGGTTTAGGGTTTACAATGTGTTTTACCTTTTAAATGACAACACCTCCATTTGAAGCCAGAATCAAAATGAAAATAAAATTGTTCACAAGAGGGAAATCAATGTATGATGAATTACATACGTCCCGCATCAACCAAACAAAAAAAAAAACAAAAAAAGTCAATCCAAAAAGTTAACGAAAATGTATTTAATATGTACGTGGTTCACAAATGTCGCCCATTTGTCTATTTTTCTTAAAGCAATTTGAACTGTCTAATTTATATTAAAATCATACTTATAAACTTTTTAATTGAAAATTGAAAAATATCTCATCTTCCTATTCGCTAACAGTACGCATATCGAAAACAAAATCATATCAATCACAATCTCGTGAAGTCACGGATGTTTGTTTACATTATAATGGGAAATTAATGCATGGTAGAGTGAAAATGGCAATGTAAACTTACCATTTGTTTTTAACCCTAGGATCTATCTAATTGAGCAGCAATAATAATTAATGACTTTAGTGCAGTAAGATAATTAAAAAATTATAATCGATATCGATATTAAATAATAAAATAAAAGGGAATGATTAGTATTAGAGGGGTGAATGTGCTTAATTAGTAGGGTGCCATTTTGAAGAGAGGTGTCCACTCGTAATCCCACAACCAAAAACATGCCCTACTCCCCTCTGCATCATATTGCACTAATCCCACCCTCCATTTGCTGGTCAATCCATGAAATCATCTCCAACTTTGCGAAGAAAACAAACAGTACAAGAGAAAGTAAAGAAAGCTCATCAGATACATTTCTTTCACTTTGGTAGAATATCGACGCTGATTCTATTATTATTATTATTATTATTCACCGCATAGATTCTTGTTGGCTGCTGGTTTGTTTGATTGATCCATTGATCAGGTGGTAAAAACTTATTGGAAACAAAGGAGCCCTCTCTCTCTTTCTCTCTGAAGACTTCACGCAAATTAATTCATTTTAAAAGTCTTTGTTCATTGACAAACATTAAAGCTGGCTAGCTAGTCATTTCCATCGATCAAGTGGAACTTGACAGTGCGTTGATGATATTGTGCAAAGACAAACGAATTCACATGATTTTGTTTATTCGATTCTTACTCCCTCTAATATTCTACAAAAGAAAAGAAAAAAAAAAGGTTTAATGGTTGGCACAATAACTGTATGTATGTTTTTATCTTATCAGTCGAGAGTTTAAAAATAATTATTCCCTTCGTCCCGTAATTATTGTTCTAATTTGAATTTTCATTTTTAATTCAAAATGTACTAAAAATGAAATATCAAACTGGATAATAATTTTGGTACAAAAAGAGTACTAAGTTTAAGTTATAAAACTGCAGAAACCTAGTTTCCTAATCACGTGTAGTACTCATGATCGTGACAAATAAATTGGACTATTTTTCTCAAATTCAATGGTCAACAAAGTCTAATTTGGATTAGTCGAAAAAATGATTTCGAACATCGGATACGCAATATATTTAAAAAAAATCGAAAAGATGAAGTGAAACTTTTTTTGTTTTTCCAAAATGAGAAAGATTAGAGCGGATTTACATATCAAATCTAGGGATCATTATTGGAGTATTATACTCTAAAGAAAAGGAAAAATAGCTAATACTTCTTTTTTAAAGGGAAAAAATTATACGTGAAAAAAAAAAAAAAAAGGAATCTTGTAGCTACCATCTGCCTCCTCCCACCGAATCCCGGTTTTACTTTTCATTTGGTGTCAAACGGATAAGGGAATCCAAGTGGAGTAAGAGTAAGCACTCCATACATACACATTCATTCAACTAAATTGAAATTTGTGGTAGTACCCCTACTTCACCTTTTCCCTAGCCTCTCCTTTTTTGGTGTATAAAAAGGGCAGTTTTGCATTTTGTGCTGCACAACACACACCATTTTTAGTTTCTACACTGCCTTCGAGGAAGATTTCATTCCCACCTGAAAACCAACAAAAAAAAAAGAGAGAGAAGATAAGGAAAAAAAAAAAATGGCACAACAACAAGCAAGTGCATTGAGTTCATTCTTCAACAATGCGAAACCTTACTTAGCTATGATCTCCCTCCAGTTTGGGTATGCTGGAATGTATATCATTTGCATGGTTGCCTTCAAGCATGGCATGAGCCATTGGGTTCTCGTTGTCTACCGTCATGCTGTTGCTACTCTGGTCATCGCTCCCTTTGCTTATTTTTTTGAAAGGTAAAGAGCTATATACTCTCAGCTCTTTTATTTACGATCAAATTAAAATTTTTCCTTCTACTCATCATGTTAATGGATACAATTTGGTTTCTAAATTTTGATTTTTTTTTTTCATTTCATGCAGGAAAATACGACCAAAATTGACACTTTCAGTATTTCTGAAAATTGCAGCGCTTGGTTTTCTAGAGTAATATTCTTGATCTCATTTCACATCTTTTCATCTAAGCATGCGCTTATTTATACATCCATAGAGGTTACATCATATATATGCATTGAATCTTCCCGAAAAATTGAGTGAATTACATGGAGAAAAACTATCAATATTCATACATGCATATATGGGTTTCTATATTCCCATTTCTCATGATGTAGACCGATATGGATTAATATTGTTATCATAGCAACTGATTAAGAGTAATTGAATTCGTAAACGTATTAAGGAAAAGGATGTTAATTATGATCGATCAAAAAAAAAAAAAAAGTAAAAGAAAGAAGGTTTGTGTATCAAATATAGTTGTCCATATCATCATAAAGGGGTGATGCGAGAAACACATGGAGCACTTCATATTTGAATTAGATTATTTTAATACATCTCTAATATTAATTTCTTTCTCTTAAAGTAGCTTTCTGTGATGCAAACTTAATTTAGAAAATACGAGTTTCTTGATAAGGCGAAGACCCGTGATTAGAAACCTTTTGTTATTTCATTTGTATGCTTTTAAAAATCACATCAAATCATTCTCTTACAATAATGAAGTATTACACTTTCCTGTTAATTAGGTTTCACTAATATGTAAATACATTGCCTGATTAACAATTAATTATTCCGTAAAAGATTAATTCTAAGAGCTCGACCTGTTGCGAAACAACCATGACTAATACATAAAATCACCGGCCACTCCACTCATTGTTAGATCCATGGTTTTGATCAGTTGGATTTCCAAACCTTTCAATGTCATGCATGCAAAACTTTCTTGAGTTTAACTTGAATCATCAACAATAGTACGTCGACGTTGTTAGCAACATATTTAGTCAAAACAACAATAAAATATCTGAGATATTTTTTAGCTATACGTGGTGAATGGCTAGTTTGCATTTTTTTTTTTAAGAAAAAGGTTCGAGGTTAGTGTGAAGATCCCTTTATAAATCACAATTAATCACTACTTAAAAAATGTATATAACTTTATCATCATCCAGGAATCATTTGTTTTGGTTAATATCATTTCCGCCGTACCCTTGTGTATATATATATGTATACTTATTCATCCTATCTTTTTGGGATTTTGGTGTAGTGGATGAAAATTCCTTTTGTCGTAGCTAGCCAGACACAAGAAAAAAGATAATGAGTTTTATTTCTGGAAATGTTTCATCCGTTTATATATTTTATTAGCATTACACTCTTTATCACGTAGAATTCCACCAGGCCTTTTCCATCAATAGAAAGTATACAAGTATGTCCTTAGTTCATCTTTCATGCACGAAAAAAATTACTACGTACGCCTGATAGGTACGTACATAATTTTACACAGCCAAACAGAATTGAAAGTGCATTATTTCATTTCTTTAAAGAAATGTTATGTCAAGCTTCAGGAATATACTACCAACATAATTGTGCATCCTAGTCACATGCCATCATTTTTACTTTATGTTACTTCTTCCCAAACCATAATTATTCCTTCATACTACTTTAGTTCCAGAATTTTTAGTATTTCTCTTTTTAAGAAAATTGTTTCGAATAATCTCCTAGTAGTAAAGAAAAATCTCATTTAAAAACCTTTTTTTATTATTATTTATGCTATGTATCTGGTGTCCGAACTACTGTCCAGACCAATCTTAGATAGAAGTCCTATTAAAATCATTCATTGAGATAACTAGTATACTTATATTGTTAAAAATTGTGTACCCTTTTTAATAAATAATACTAAAATGGGATATTTAAATTTTGGGTTATATTATTATTATTTTATTTTATTTTTTGAAATGGGTTATATTATATTGATGATCGATGCAGGCCAGTGCTGGATCAAAACTTGTACTACGTGGGGATGCAGTCCACATCAGCTACATTTGCATCTGCTTTTGTTAATGTTCTCCCAGCCGTTACTTTCATATTGGCCCTCCTCTTCAGGTAATTTTGTATTCATTTCCCATCAATTTCATTTAGCAAATTAAAATACTCTTAAAAGTAGTTTAAGAAAAAATAGATTAATTTAAAAGTATAATGAGTAAAAAAAAAGTTGTTTTGATCAACTAGGTTGGAGAAAGTGAACCTTAAACAGATCCCGAGTTTGGCAAAAGTGATCGGAACAGCAATAACAGTGTCGGGAGCCATGGTGATGACGTTGTACAAAGGCCCCATTGTTAACATTGTAGGGTCGTACGCCCATGGAGGAAGCCACCATTCTGCAAGTGCTTCGTCTACTCAGCAGAACTGGGTCACTGGCATTTCAACCCTTTTCTCTTGCATCTTTGGTTGGTCCGGATTTTTCATTGTTCAAGTGAGTTTGAGATCCATCCCTCTTATCTCTTATTATATTTTTCTTCTTGTTTTATCTTAATTATTTTGTATTAGTGCGATTAATCTCAATAATAATAATGTCACCTTTTTTTTTTTTTTACTTGGTCGCAGTCAATGACGTTGAAGGAATATCCGGCAGAGTTGTCATTGACAGCCTTAGTGTGTGTGATGGGAATGATTGAGAGTGGAGTGGTAGCTCTAATATTCGAACGCGATATGAGCGCCTGGGCCATTGGTTTCGATTCCAGAATTCTTGCTGCTGCTTATTCTGTAAGTCTATCTCTTTTACTTAAGTATTTCCTCTGTCCTAAAATTATTGTCGAGTTTGAATTTTCATTTTTTAGTTTAATTTGTATCAAAACTGAAAATTTAAACTGGAAAATAATTTCGAGACGGATGGAGTAGTCATTATTTCGTTTTAGAAGGCATTTAAGTTACTTTTCAATGTGTTCAATATGTATTCATTAATTCACTTTTTTTGTACATTTTACATGACATACAATAGGGGGTGGTTTGCTCGGGGATAGCTTATTACATGCAAAGCGTGGTGAACAAGGTTCGAGGTCCAGTTTTTGTGACGGCTTTCAGTCCTTTGAGCATGGTCATTACCGCTGTTTTGGGTGCCATTGTGTTGGCTGAGCAAATTCATCTTGGCAGGTACTAACAACTAAAAGAAAAGGGAAAAAAAAAAACCCTTATTTTTGTTCAATTTATTATAAATTCATTGATTGTTCAATTGATGTGTGTATCGCAGTATAATTGGAGCTTGCATCATTGTCATCGGGTTGTACTCGGTCATCTGGGGTAAAAGCAAAGATCTTGCGGCGGCAAATAATGGTGATGATCATCATGACTTTGAGAAAGGCAAAACCCTTGATTTTCCAATGACTGAGAAAACTACTGTGGTTTTCGACCTGGCGGATCCTCATGACATTGAGTCCAATGGCGCTTCCAAATCTCCATTCAAACAGATTTCACCCCTTTGAGAAACTGCCTAATTAAGTAATTTTGACCCAACCACCCCCCAAAAAAAATTGATGTTGTGAAGTAATTGCTTAAAACGTTACTTCTTCTTCCATCATTAATTAGTGGATGATGTATTACTGATCGCACATTTACCCCCTCCTTACTTTCTTTTTGTTTTTGATTTTGTGATAGTGTACGTACTTATGTCATGATGAAGTTGTACCCAAGTACAACTCCCCCTATGTGTCTTCCCATCTATCATGACCAAAATTTTCAATTTATTGTTTAATCCCACTCTTAGTTTTCTATGAGTTTAGTTGACTCTTGTGGTTGTGCTTATATGGTTATTATATACTAGTAAAGCCACAAAACACTGAGGCTATAAACATACATGTAATCACTGAGTGTTATTTTGTCATTTGGTCGAATAATAATATTTTTGTTTTTATGATAGTCATGAGTTGTTGGATCCTGATTCTTGAGCAATTACACAAAAAAAAAAAAAGGAAGAGAAAGTTGGTAGTTTTGAGTTTTGACTCCGTCCCAATGCAAGAGAAATCTCAAGGAGTGGAATCTAAAATTAAAAGAGTAAAGATCAATATATTATAATTCAAAGTATGGCAAACAACATTTAATTTGCCTCGAATTCGATATTTTCAATCATTTTAATTGATTCTTTCATAACTACAGAGCGTAAGAAGGTGCAATGTTTTAAACTCGAATTCATTTAGTTTTCCAACCTAAGTGACTCAAATCGACTAAAGCTAATAAGTATACAACTATTACTTAAAAAAAAAGGGGGAAAAAGAAAAACCGAGACGAAGAACAAAGCTAACGTCTAGTTTTCATAAAGATATCACACAAATCCATTTTTTTCCCCTTCTTTTTTTTTGTTTAAACCAACATTATATACTCCCTCTGGTCCTTAATATAAGACATTTTGATTTTGTTCTAAATTTTATCTAGTATGCATTTTTAATTGATGGAAAAACCTTAAAAATATATTTTCACAATCCTTGTATTCTCTTGATTGTTATGAAATATTTTTAAGATTTTTTGTCTCAATTAAAAATGCATACTAAATTAAACTTAGAATAAATCAAAATGCTTTTATATTAAGGTGTATGTTCACTATGTAGTCGGAGTGGTGCAAGGAGATAGGTACAATTTGTACCAGGGTAATTCATTTGTTTATCTATTTAATTTGCAGTTTAGGACTTTGGTGGTATTTATCATGCACTTTTGGGAGCAGAATATATATGTGTGTGTGTGTTTTTGGGTGGAAATGTTTCTGGATGATATTATGTTATGAAGAAGACAATGGCTATACATGGGGTCAGAATTCGTGTCTGCATGATTTTTTTTCCCTTTTTATTACTACCTTCGTCCCAAAAAAATAGTCCACATCGAGTTTTCAGATTTGTATTATTTTTAGTGCAAAATTCAAAACTCAATATGAATTATTTTTTTAAGACGGATGAAATATAAGGGAGTGTTTTCTTAAACAGAAAAATGAAGTATTTTCAACACTTTTTTGATTGGATTCATGAGCATACAACAATTCCGAGCCTCTTAAAAAAAAAAAAAAATTCTGAGTCGTCGGAGAACCCTTTGATGATTTTAAACATGGTGACTAAAGGATATTTTTGATATTTTCTTAAACAATAAAAGATATTTTAGATAACCAACTAAATATCAGGGGTGTTTTTTGATATTTTGGTGGTGGTTTACCAAATACTAAAACTATAAGGAGCTAATTGATATCTAACATTGTTTCGTCAAATCCTCCCCTCTACTGATTCTCGACAGTCGAAAAAACCCTTCTTTTTCCCACCCTTTCTTCTTAATGTGAGAGTTTCTTTACTTCTTTGTTATTGCATTTAGCTCACCGCCTGGAATAACGTCACAGGAGGAACTTCGTTTCCAATTTTGGGTAATCGGACATCCACTGAAGGTACTTTTTAGTTTAGCATCTCTCTTAATCGAGTTTTGTCTGTACACTGTTTGATAAAATGCGTAATTGAGATTCGTGTACTACTTTGGCAATCTCCTGACCAATAAATGCATTGGGGTTCTCTTGTAAATCGGTATCCAGGTGTTAACAAGGTTCCTTGATGTCGGAAAAAGATTGGTGTTTTGCTTTTTATTTATTTATTATTATTATTTTTTTATAAAAAAAAAACACTCTTGATGTGTTCGAAGTAGACTATTTGGAGACGATAGTTGATTAGAGTATGTAATTTGGCCTCAAAATTAGCTCATATGTTGTTAATTGGTGAAAATCAAGAAGGCCTCAATGGCTGGGCTTAACACATGGGGAGGTTTATGTACTGATGGTAGAAGATGCTGTAGAGTTTTCACAATGAATCAATAAAGTCCAATGGGGACATCCTGTGAGTGTTGAGTAGTTTTTTATTGACATCTAGAGCCTTAGGTGTTGATTTGGATGAATGGTCTTAAAAGATTCTATTCTAGCTAAAAAGCATGAAGTTAGTTTGGAAGGGTTTACACAATGAGAGCATATGGTCGCTTTTCAAATTTTTAAAAAGAAAAACAGAAAGTACATAAACTTCTTCATTGAAAAACACCATAGTTGCAAATGTTTATTCATTTCTTTCTTTTTCTTTTATTGTGATTTTATAACTAACTGAGAGAGGTGGGCTGTCTTTCTAGGTGTTGTTCTCTATCATGTATGTACCTTTGTTAGTTCTGATTTTGAGTAAGTGTATGTGTTGTCCTTAAGTTTTATCTGAGTTCTGTAAGTGCAGTGAACATATTGTATCACAATTTGAAACTAAGCTTTGAAGTTGGTTTTATGGAAATCATGATGACAACATCGCCTGGGGTGGTACTTGGTAGGTCAACAGGTGATTGAGGTCCATTTATGGTTGAAGTCCCACCCCCAGCTTCAGACACAAATTGATATCCTGGCTGGCAGAATACGAGAAAGTGCTTTCAAGCTTCGTTATTAAAGATTATACTTGTCACAAAAATGGACACAACAATGGGAGAAGCGGAAGCAGGTGAAATTCTACCGGAACGAGATGTAGACATGTCGGCTGCATATGAATTGCTTCAAAAAAGCAAATCTTCTATTGAAGAAATTGTTGCCCAAATGCTTTCTGTCAAAAAAGACTCCCAGGACAAATCCCAACTACGTGAAAATGTCACTCAGATTTTCCTTAATTTTGTGGCCCTTCGGCAGGTGGGTTCCTCTTATTTACTTATTGTCTTGGGGAAGGTGATGTACTACAACGTAAACTAGCCTTTGTCCCACTATTTGGTTTTTGTAGATATATTTTCTTTCCTTTGGGATTAACCTCTTAGATTTTCTTGATTAAGTTCTTTGCTTTTTGTGTGAGTTCATTCCATCAAATCTGAAATTAAGATGTTTATGTAGAAACAAAGATCTTTCGGCTCATTTAATATGGGAGTTCAGCTTCGATATGCTCCTTTGATTTTCATGTTCTCGTTCTTTGGTTTGGGATTTTCCAAATGGCAACTTTGTTTTCAGATGAGAAGCATGTCCTGCTAGATTTTTTTAAATTATTATTATTTTTTTTTTGGCCTTCAGATTGTTTGATTCAGAATTCAATTGATATTTAGGTTTGGATCTGGCTTGCTAAGTTAATTTTCTGACTATTTTTTAACAGGCAAATAGATCAATCTTGATTGAAGAAGATCGTGTTAAATCAGAAACTGAACGTGCTAAATTCCCTGTTGACTCCACCACTCTGCAACTCCATAACTTGATGTATGAAAAGAATCACTATGTAAAAGCAATAAAGGCTTGCAAAGATTTCAAGTCTAAGTATCCTGACATTGAACTAGTGCCAGAAGAAGAGTTCTTTAGAGATGCACCAGAAGACATAAAATCCTCAGTGATATCAAAGGATAGTGCACACAACTTGATGCTCAAACGGCTTAACTATGAGTTGTTTCAGGTAAATAGTTATGTGGCATTGTAATTATTATTCTTGCTTGTGATTAATCAAGTACATAGGTTTATTTTAAGCTCATTTAAAAATGATTAGAAGATCTGATACAAATGGCCGAGATTGTTGAAATACTCGATAAAGTCCCCTGAGTTTTTCTTTAGCAATTTATAGCACTCCTTGCAAGTGTAAAACGAAGCATCACCTAACTCCTCATTTGTTGTGTTAGAGAAAAGAACTGTGCAAACTTCGTGAAAGATTGGAACAACAAAAGAAAGCCCTTCAGGATACCATTGCTAACAGGAAGAAATTCTTATCCAGTATTCCTTCTCATCTGAAATCCCTGAAAAAAGCATCCTTGCCTGTTCAACAGCAACTGGGAATTCTGCATACGAAAATGCTGAAGCAGCAGCAATCTGCTGAACTGCTTCCACCTCCTCTCTATGTGACTTACTCCCAGTTAGTTGCACAAAAGGAAGCCTTTGGAGAAAATATAGATCTTGAAATAGTTGGAAGTTTAAAGGAAGCTCAAGCTTTTGCGCGCCAGCAAGCAATAAAAGACTCTGGTAAGTATGTTTATGGTACAGCATCCATGTACTGGTCAAAATAACTTATGCCTTTTGGACCATATAGTTCTTGGGAAGAAGGGGACCGTAATTTGACTTATCTTGTGTCAATTGTGGAGATTAGTTGCATGCCTCTTCCAATTTGAGATCTTTAGTTGTGTTTATTGAATTGCTTATATTGGTGTAATAGGAACGTCTGCAAATTTGGAGAGCTCTAGATTGGATGATGATGTACCTGATGAGGAAGATGATGGACAAAGAAGGAGAAAGAGACCAAAGAAGGTGCCCGGCAAGGATAATCTTGAACAGGCGGGAATTTACCAGAGTCATCCACTTAAACTTATTCTTCACATACACGATGATGACGATGATGATGGTGCTATTGATCTCAACTCTACGAAACTTATCTCTTTAAAGTTTGAGTACTTAACAAAGTTGAATGTGGTATGCGTTGCAATAGAAAGCTCTCAAGAAGTTAAAGGGAATAACATTTTATGCAACTTATTTCCGGATGATACTGGCCTTGAGCTTCCTCATCAGGTATAATAGTTTATCATAGCAGTTATTAATGCTCTAAGATTTCGCTTCTTGTGTTGTGATTCTGTTTTGTGTATATGTAGGCAGCCAAACTTTGTTTGGGGGATACATTGAAGCTCGATGAGAATAGAACTTCACGTCCATATAAGTGGGCCCAGCACTTAGCAGGAATCGATTTCTTGCCAGAGGTGTCACCGCTGCTTACCAGTCCCCAAACATTAAACGAGGAATCAACTAAACACACTGCTGTTCTGTCTGGTCTGTCACTATATCGCCAGCAAAACCGTGTCCAGACAGTAGTCCAAAGGATTCGTGCGCGGAAAAAGGCTCATCTGGCTCTTGCGTGAGTCACTGTACTGCATGTTTAGGGTCATGGCTCCATTAGAAAATAGCTGTAATGAGAATGATCACAATGTAGACAAAAACAATATACCTGTGAAACTTTGATTTCGGGTTAGCTTATGTTGCTGAGAAGATGTAGTTTGCTGCTGTTATGTTGTGTTTTGGAACAGTGATAGTTGATGACTTTTGCCCTTGTATCTGTTTCTGCTGCTTGACATTCTCGTTCACTTTGCTCCTGTTTATGGTCTTTGGCATTGATCTCGCATATTCTTTACCACAGCATGTTGAACTGGATATTTTATTCTGTCGGTACATTTTTCTTTGTGAATGAGGTTGACATTAAAAGTTCAATTGTAAATTTTGGTTTACTGACAGGGAACAGCTTGACTCACTATCGAAGCTTAGTTGGCCAGCTCTAAAATATAAAAGCTTTCCTTGGACTTCACATTCCCCTAGATGCAGTTTGCATAGCTGGTCACCAGTTGGTTCTGAGCTCAGCCAGATCTTGCGGTCACCTCCCTCTAATGCTGAAGGTCGTCAGACTCCTGATGCCGAAAGAGTAGAAAATTCTGGTGTTTCGAAAGTACCTTCCGAAAATTTACAGGAAGATGGGGAATTGCCATCCTTGGTAACAACTGGTGTCGTGAATGATTTTAAGCTTGCTGCTGCTAGAGAAGCTGATATTGATGTTTCTAGAAGAATACCATTGATCTCAAAAACTATCCTATCCCCAGCCAACAAAGGGAAACTACGTAGTTTTAAGAAACATGATGACGATGTAGATCTCATCCTGGATTCTGATTATGAGCTGGAAGAGCCTGCTGCATTGGAGCCAGACACTGGCATGGCACTTGTCGGGCAAGTAAATGCATGGGTAGATTGCTGTGTTCAGGAGTATAGTCTTGTTTTCACTAGGAAGGTGAATGATGGTGGAAAGAACATGAAGCTGGAATCGAAGGTATCATAACCTCTCTTTTTTTTTTCTTTTTTTTTTTTCTTCAATCGTTTCTTACCTTGTTTTGTGCTGACTTTTGGTGCTTCTTTCTATATTTCTGGTGGCAGATTAAGATTAGCATGGAGTACCCACTTAGGCCCCCACTTTTTGCTCTGAATCTTCATTCGGAATCTAATGAGGAAAACTCTTGCATGCTTGATTATTCAGAGTGGTACAACGAACTCCGCGCTATGGAGGCAGAGGTAAGGATAATTTAATGGTTGATACTTCTATCTGATTCCATGCTAGTTTTGACATTTGCTCACTTTGCAATTCATAAAATTATGTATCTTCTCAAATTTGGGAATTTTAAATATGTATCTATGTATCTGAATTCTGGAATTGGGAATTCCTGTAGAAAATTGTTTTAGTTATCTGAAGGGTGATCCTTTCACTTGAGTTTTGATTTAATCTTGCTCATATGGTTTATTGCGAATTTCAGTAGAATCTTCTGCCTTACATGCTTGCTGGGTTGTTTTCTGATTACGTTTAAACTGTTCAACGACTTGGTTGTCCGTTCTCGGATTGCTGCTTAATTTTTGCTCCTGTATTTTTCAGGTGAATGTTCATGTAGTTAAGTCAATACCATCGGATCAAGAAAACTTTGTTTTAGCGCATCAGGTCTGTTGCCTGGGAATGTTGTTCGACTTTCTCATGGAAGATGGAGGCCCTTTGGTTACAAAGATAGAGAACACTTCTGTAGTTGATGTTGGCTTGGGCAAGCCTGTGACTGGTGGAATGGTTGGCCGATTGTTCCGGGGAAGGGATAGGAGGAGACTGATCTCTTGGAAGGATAATACTTGTACACCTGGGTATCCTTACTAGTTGAGATTTTGAATTAGTTGGCCCAGTTTTGCAGATGGAGTTTTTGGAGCAGCAAAAGTTGTCATAAGTGAGACAGCAACTGGAGTAAAAACACGGCGTCATGCATAAAAACGATTTTGCAGGTTCTCCTTTTCTTGTGTCGCCAAATAATGGCGCGTTTAGAGCTGAGGTATTTTTGGTTCAGTTTCTGTTGTTTATTGGTTCGTATGTATTGATTCAGTTAAATATGCTTTGGTAGTCTGCTCTAGAAACTTAGTGTACTAGCACATAGTAGTAATTTGTTTGTGCAACAAAACTCGAAGCGAAACAAGATTACCACCAGATTCATTTATGTTATGCTAATTTTGCGCTCTAAGATTCAGGATTTTAATGTGTCAAAATTTGATGTATTGCATTTCGGGTGAGGGGCAGGCAGGGCGGTGCTAGAAAAACCCTTGAAACTTAAGATGCTTTTTGGCGCGCACTTCCTTATAACTAATTATAAAATTTCTCTATTATTATAACTTTGTAATAATATGATTTATACAACAGTTGGTTAAGATTAGCGCCAGATTCGTGTGTTTACTGTTCCTCTTTTGACCGATTTGATTGACAGTTGACTCTTTTTTTTTTTTTTTTGGTTGCCTGCCACGGTTTTCGGAGCTTTGTCCCGACTAATCCGTTGGTCGACCCGAGTCGCACACCTAACTGTGGTGGGTGAGTCTCCCAACAAGAGTTTTTTGCATCCACAAGATTTCAAACCCGAGACCTTGCTTAAGCGGCATCAAGCTGCTTAACACTCTTTCTAATATGATATGAAGTGTGGAGGATTCCCCAATTTTGTTTGAAGCAAATACTACCATGTACCCAAAATGATATTACCGATAAAAGAGACAGTGTTTATTTAAAAAATGAATAAATAAAAAAATAGAGAAAAATATGGAAGCGAATGTGGTGATGTAAAATTGTAAATATGCCAAAAAAAAAGAGAGCAACGATTGATTTGTTCAGCCGTCTGATTGGCTTACCATATTTATATTATTATCTGTTTGTTTGTTTCCCAAAATTGAGGAAAGCCTTAAAAACACTTGCAACATCATATTATTGGCTTATGTTCCTTTCCTTTCCGCCTTGCCGGGATTCCCAAACTTAACGCCAAGAGACCTCCAGCCATGTGGGTTTTTGGATACGGCTCTTTAATTTGGAAAACTGGCTTCCATTACGACGATCGCCTCGTTGGATTCATTCAAAACTACCGCCGAGTGTTTTACCAAGGTTTCCATCTCCCAATGCTTTTTTTTCCGCCCTCAGTTCTGCGGTACTAATGGGTGTGGTGTCGGTTTCTGGATGCAGGGAGTACTGATCACAGAGGAACTCCCGAGTATCCTGGTCGGACCGTCACTCTGGAGCCTGCTCAAGGCCAGGTTTGCGTAAGTTCTTTCTCCTACCTTTCATTTTTTATTTTTTTTTTTGTTTCTTTTTCCCCTGCATTGCTACTTTATGATTAGCTCCAGAATTTTTGGAGATAGCACGTTTAATTGGTTGTAGTTTATCCATTTCCTTTACGGGGATAATGTCCATTTCATTATCATTCACTATTAACGAGTAGCTGAGAGCTTTGATTCAATGAAGATTTCAGAGTACTAAAAGATTGCTTTTTTTCCCCTTTGGTTTGTGCTTTTGTCATTCTATTGATACTGTGTTTTTTTGTGTGTGAGACTAGTGGGGAGTAGCATACAAGATAAACCGTAAAGAAGATCAAGAAGAGGCATTGACGGTATGTGTCTTGTTCGAAATAACTTGCATCACAGATTTAACTTTATGGTGCATTAGGCTGATGAGATGGTATTTGTATCAGCATTGTTGCTGCTGACCTCCTCGGGTACACTCAATATGATATTGCTGTCTTGCATGTTTTGGTTACTATGCATTTCTATTTAAGCTTCTCAAATGTAAATTTAACGCATTCCCTGCAATCTGCAAAGTGGTCAGTTAGATGTGTTCATTTGAGCCACAAGAACTGAGGACGGTGACAAGATTTTCAGTTTCAATCTGGCAAGATCATCATAGAACTAAGGAAATCTGAATAAGTTGTGTTTGTGTGGTTGTTAAATTCAAAAGGTTTTCCTGTTCATATAAGTTCTCCCTTTTTGAGCGACTGTGTATCTTGACGACCAGATACCTCTGCTTTCTTCTAAAACTCTGATTCCATTAGGATGCAGGGTGTATACTGCTTCTCTACCTCCAGAGAAAATTTTTCTCCTAATCATCTTTGTGAGTTGCAGCTTCTAATGAAAATGTTTTGGGTGATTTTGCCCTATTTCAGTCCTCAAGTTATGCAGATAATGCTCCCTTTTCTTCCAAACATTTAACTGTATCATAGTAGCAGGCTCTTCAAAACTTTGAATGTTCTCATGCCACAAAGAGTCCTAACTAAGGTGATCATTATGAGATTTATAATCAAGAAGCAAGGATATAAGTGGAAGAAAAGCTGGAAAAAGCTTCTGCTATGTGGTGTTTAACATCAATACCATAAAAAAAATTTGTGTGTTGTATCACGAAATTCTAACAAGTTCACACTTCTTTAACAAAAGATTCTCCATTTGGAAAGGGGAAAGTATATTCTTTCGGTTGGCGAACACTTATCTGAATTTTCTATTATTGATTTCCATATTCAAATTTATTTTGGTGTTCCTCTATCAGCATGATGTTTTAGGAATTAGGAAGTGGTAAGTTTCTGTTGAAAGAATTGTGACTGTTAACTTTTGATTATGGTGATTATGATTGTCCAGATCTTTATAGATTTAAGGAGTAGCTATTGGTGTGAAGAGTTTGTACGAAACAGAATAAACAAATTTTATGGTCTATTTCACTAAAATCTCAACTACAATTTAACAGAGTTCTCACTACCCAATGCAGCAGTCTCTGCATCCGATGAACTTTCTATCAGCTTGAATGGCTATACTGTTGTCAAACGGAATCTGAGTGACATGTTATGGAGTATGAGTGAGAGCCTAAGACATTATTAGGATTTCCTCTGGATTGTGATTTCCTCTAGATTGTGAAATCTTTAGAAGAAAAAAGCTTTGGAAACTGTTTCACATGTAATTACTGGCTAAAGAAAATTGAGAAGTAAGCCTAATTCTCACTGTATTGGATTTGATGAGTCACGTGAAGGGGATTGAAGTATGACATGTTAATGTGTTGTGCTAAAGAAACTTGAGAAGTAAGCCTAGTTCTCATTGTATCGGATTTGATGTGTCACAGGAAGGGGATTGAAGTACAACATGCTATGCTGAAATTCCCCTTGCAAAAGAACATCAATGATGGAGATCTAGGTGTTACTGGAGCCTCAGTTGGGTATTGTGAGATTCTTTTCAGCCGAAAGTAATTCAGGATGCGTAATCTATAAACTAGGAGCAGTATTCTTTGTGTTGTTGGCATTTTATCTCTTTCAGAACATTTGTTGAGGTGTTAATCAACAAAAGCTGGGGAAGGAACTTAATTTCTGATTTTTGTTCTTGAGTTTCATGTCTGGTACTTATAACTAGCTTAAGCATTGATTTCCTTCAGCAATATTTATTTCTTTGCTCCATAACTGATTAAGATTTTGCTGGTTCTGATGTTTTTTATGATGGAATCTATTGACTGACATGGTTACCAGTATCTGGAAGTGAGAGAAAAGCAATATGACAGGAAGGAGTATCTTGATTTTTACACCGTAAGCTGAACCTATTGATGATGATTCTGCAAGTTTATTCTATATTGAGGTTTCACTGGATTGCTAATTAGTAGTTCGTTTCTGCCTTCCTGTTGGTACTGTTTTTTCTTTTAATAGGACCCCACTTCTACTGTCCCTGCCGTGTCTGGAGTGATGGTGTAAGTTTACAAAACCTTCTGAAACTTAATCATGATTTCCTTGTCTAAGTTGTACGGTCTTTTTTTTTTTTTTTTTGGAAATGGCTAAGTTGTACGACCGGTCAGGTGAAAACTCATAATTCTAGCATTGTTTTTGTGTTAGATATATTGCTTCTGCGGACAAGAAGCTCAACAAGAACTACCTAGGGCCTGCATCTCTAGAAGAAATTGCCAGGTATCCGATTTCCCATATATCTATGCCATTTCTTGTTTCCTGCTTGGGTTCCTCACTGCGTGTTTCCAGTTTGATTATGACCATTTAGATGGCAATGGTAGGCAGAAACCACATAATATTAATCCTATTTGTCCACTGAACAAAACCTCTCAACTGTGAGAATGTGATGTTGGATGATTTTACTCCTAAATTTGCACTTTTGCTTATAATATTTCAAAGAAACTGCATGCATATTGGTACAATTTACAAGGAGATCTTTCCAATCAGATTCTGATCTGTATTTTCTGATTCTGATCTGAGTTATGTCAATTTAAAAATCCAATAAGGCCACTTGCTATATACCCTTTTGACTTCCATGTACACTATTGACAAGGAAGGCACCTAAGACATATAGATCCTAGAATCCAGTATTATGAGCTGTGATTCATTCAACTGTAATTGGATTCATGTCCTTGGTTAGCTGTGCCATTCCATGTACTCATATATATATGAAAGAGAGAACCGTTTAAAATATCTTGGTCTCAAAATGGATGCCACTGGAATAGGTCTGTAAAATAGGTTGTGATACTGCAGTTGACATGTAAGTTTAACTTCATTTTATGTGATTACATTTGTATTCAACAGCCAAATAGTTCGTGCAGAAGGGCCATCTGGACCTAACCGAGACTACCTTTTCCAACTTGAAAAGGCACTAAATTTATTAGGTAAAGGTGCAGTAGAATTTGCAGTTACCGATTGCTCCTACATCTCTCTTCTCTTTACATTCAGAGTTGCGATCACCTTTTTGCTTGTGTACGTAGGATGTGAAGAAGATAGGCATGTCCGTGATCTTGCGGATCAAGTGAGAAGCATTCTTTCTGCGGCTGAGAACTGAAGTACAGTACGTGATTACCAAACAGGCAAACCTGAATCAAATTTGGCATTTCAAGTGTAAATGGAGAAGTACTTATTTTTTACTGGTTGAAAGGAATTGAGATGACAGATGAAGAGCCGAATTCTTTTTGTTCGCATGCAGCCTTCTTTTGGTATGTGAAGATCATGAAGATAGTACTATTCTTTTACTATTCTGAATATGCCGTGCCAGTTTCAGTGAGTAACATCATTCATAACTTTGTCCAAGATTTACGCTACAGAAATTAGTAGCACTAGTTTAGTTTTAGTATAATTAGTAACAGTACTACATATGAAATGAATATCTCTATCAATTTCTTTTTGGTATAAGTGACATAATCTGATCCTATAAATTCAATGAATATAAAACAAGCAGATGGCTAGGCTAGTTAGAGCGCAGAGGTTAGGAAGGTTGGGTAATAAGGACTTGGAGAAAAAGAATGAATTTGGACATACTCCTTCTATCCCATAATTATTGTCCAGATTGAATTTTTATTTTTAGTTCAAATTGTACTAAAAGTGAAATTTCAAACTGAACAATAATTTTGGGACAGAGGAAGTATATGATTAGTGAAGTGTTTGATGGATGCAAGGAAGCTCCATTGATGGTTGTTGACTTTTTGGTTTAGCTTCTTGGCCGATCTCCTGATAATTCAACACATCTTATTCAGGGTTGGGAAAAAATAATTGGCAGTACTTGTTAATGAATCTCGCGAAAGTGTTAATTAGCAATTTGATTAAGTTTTGTACTTATTTGAAACTACCAGGTACGTAAGTTGATAATTATTAGAACACTTGAATTTCCCAATTCAGTATAATAATAATAATAGTAAAAGAATTCCATAAAGGACGCGGCAACGGCATAGCGTGAATCATTGACCTGAAAATCCATTTCTTGCTTGAACTCGTGAAACATACACGTACACCACAAGTTCTTTCAACTGTTAATTAAATCTCCATCAATTGGCGTTCTAATTTAGAAATTTATAGTCCTCATCAACAATCATCTCATTTTGTTTTAACTTATGTTTTGAAAATTGGACCGGAAAGCGAACCGGTAACTTAAGTGGTTCATTGGTTTATCAGTTTAATCGGTTTAAATTGGTTTTTAAAACCGGTAAAAATCAGTTATAAAAATTATTAAAAAATAATTAATTTTTAGAATTTCAAAATTTTGGTTTAATCGGTATCGGTTCTCGATCAAACCACGGTTTTGTTTGAATTTGACCGATTTTTAAGTCTACCGTTATTAATTCAAACTGGATCAAAAAGGCCTCTGATTTCCGATCGAACTGGTTCGACCGCCCAATCCAGTCCGGTTTTCAATACAAAGCTTTTAACTCAAAAGTGTATAAATGATTGTAATAAGATGATTAAAAAAAAAGGCCAATGTTTTTACCATAAATGATGAGTTGAAATGAAATCATGAAAAGAAGAAACGAAATCAAATTACACTCTCTCTCTCTCTCTCTCTCTATATATATATCCAGTATACAGAGAAAGTTTATTCAGTTGGGCATGGATGAAAGAAAAGTAGAACAACAAAGAGATATGGATGTAAATTCCGTGGGGCAGAGGAATTAATGTTGTAATCAAGCCTTTTTGAACTGAACCATAAAGGGAACATCACTGAGAGCAAGACGTCGGGTTCCGTTCTGGATAAAGATCCCAACATCTCTGCAAATGACTTTGCAATAGTTACAAACCGTGGGGCAAAACACCAGCTTATAATCCTCCCGCCTGCTCTTCTTCTTATCAGAACCATCTTCCCTATTGAATTTCTCAATCTTGAACCAGTTGTCTAATGTTTTAGGCCCCGGATTTCCCTGCACACCTCCGCTGACCACAAAGTACTGTTTCAGCCCATCGTCGTAGCTGAGCTTCCACACCGTTGACTGGACGCAGATGGTGGCTGCGTCGAACCTGATGTTCTGATCGCTGGAAACCCGCACTGCGCCGCCTTTTGTGGGTTTTGCCGGGGAGAAGATTACGGGAAGGCCGAAGTTGACCTCGAACGGGTCCTGGGCTACGAAGAGAGGGCATGTTAGGTTGTCGGAGCTGGATAGGGTGAGCCCACCTCCCCGGCCCCGGATGACCGGAAGAATGTAGTATTTTCCGGATGTCCGGAGGGGTTTTCCGTCGATGTCGAGTACCGGGTCGGGTTGTTGTTGTTGTTGTTGTTTGGCGGTGGATGAAGAGCAGATCAAGAAAGTGTTGCAAAGCCAAAGCACAACAATCAGAAGAAAGGAAAGGGATTTGGTCTCCATTTTGGTGTTTCTGTTTTGAGGGAAAAATGGTTATGGAGTAGTTTTTGATCTTCAAGAGTGCATTTTTATAATACAAGAAGAAGAAGATGGGAGGAGATAAGATCCAGTTGACTTGCGAGCTGTCCACGGTCCACACTACACCCCCCAACAATTAATAATATTGTCCATCTTTTTTGGACACTGGATCGATCGGGTCAACGTATCAAAATGGCACGTTATTGTACTGATCATATATGAAGTACACATTTTCCATTTTAAACTTTTTACTGCGATATATGTATATGTGAGTCTCACGGTTTTGCATGTTGTTCAAGAGGAAAAAAAAAGAAAAAGAAACTGCACTTATTTGTGTTCCGAACTTAAGAGTTATAAGTACCCACACTATTATTTGTCTAAGAATCAGATAAAGATCGCCTTGTACTTGGGAGTAGCTATGGAAGACCAGTTCAGAACAACTCTCCATCGGTGTTATAGTACAATTCAAACTAAAATTGAAAACTCAAACTAGATAATAATTATAGAACGGACTTAAGAGTGTATAAGTCACCTTTCTTTAAAAAACAAAAAAGAAATTTTAAAAATACAATAAAAAAAAATTCAGAAAGGGACGCGGCAAGTGCCATAGCGTGAATCATTGACCAAAACGAGCATATTTTGGATATCATATGCCCCCTTCTTTTGAAAAAATAAATAAATAGAACCTCCATCAATTATACGTCATATATCTCCAAGTTCCAAGGTTCAAAATTTCGGACAATATCAATAAAATTCCGCTTATACGTATAATAATATTCAACCAGCTATACGTACATGGGAGATAAAAGCCAGCTAGGATTCAAAGCAAAACCCAAATTACAGCCCCCAATATATTGCTACTTTGCCAAGCCTAGCTGATTAAGATAAATCCGAATCCCACCACCATTTGTTTTATGATGACAGATTTCTAAAGTTGGAAGTTGGGAAACCAACATACTATGTTATACTCCCTCCATCCCATAATTATTGTCTAGTTTTACTAAAATGAAAGATTTTATTTTTGGTCAAACTTAACTATATTTTACCTTAAACAACCGGATATACCCCTACATAAGTAATAGTTTAACCACTAAGATTTTATGGATAATGTTTTTTACTAAGGACAAATGTGTAACTTGATCCATAAAAAGTCAAATTGGACAATAATTTTGGGACAAAATTTTTTGGGCAAAGTGAATAATAATTATGGGACGGAGGGAGTAAATATTAATATTGTATTTTTGGGACTGTTTCTTCTCCTTCCTCCTACCTTGCGAGCAAAGCGGCCACCAGAAGTACGTAGCAATTCTCGATTCTTAACTTCTGAAAATTTTTCTTAAAAAAGTTTCTTTATGTTACCAATTGCTTCCTCAGATCAAAAAACTTTCAATTTGTTTGCTTTTTCCTATAATTTCTTATGTGATATATAGATTCTGTCATACGTAGATTCAATGTGTTCTTTTTAGCATTAGAAGATTTTCCTTGAAAACGTGTTTTAATCCTTCGAATTCCGTCTAGGATCAATTTTTTTTTTTTTAATCTGCATAGATGTAGTGTTTCTCCTGTATTGATATGTTTAAGAACAGTTTTAGGACATAGATTCTGTTCATATGGGATGTTTATTAAGAACTTAATTTAGGAAAAGAAAGTATAAGGGCCCTATGGTTTTATCTTGAGTTTTCTTTTGGAGATGCTCACGGTGTGCAGTCTAGAGCTTTTTGTGTCTTTGTTTTCTCGTTGCGTTGATGTTTTGTTTTGGATATTTCTCGTACAAACGTTGTATTTTTTCCATGAGGACATCTTTAAAACCCCTTGCGGCTGCCTTTGATGATTTACTGGTAAATTAGCAGACCACTTCAATACCTTCCTACTTCCTTTTCTCCCTTCTCCCCAGCTATTTCTTTTAGTGAGTGGTTTTTGGAACATATTATATTATTATTATTATTATTATTTATTATTTATAATGCCAGAAACCCAACCAAAGATGGCTGGCCCACTGCCTGTATAGGTTTTTCAATAACAAGTTTTATGGGCAAGGTTAGAAGCATCCGTCACCCTTGCTGGGAGTGGAGGGTTAAACTGATAACCTTCTTTTAAATGAGCAATTTTATCATTGAACCAACATGTTATTATTATTATTATTATTATTATTATTATTATTATAAATAAAGTTTTTCATTTATCAAGTTTCTTTAAGCTTTCAGTTCTGCCCAATACTATTTTCTTTATTCATTTATTTTTCATTTGTATGCTCTTGTTTTAGTATAGTAGAAATAAGTGGTACCGTTCACATGTTACTGAGTGCATGCTCGGACTATCTTTGGATTTTTGATGTTTGATCGTTTAAATTTTGATGGCAGCCTGACAATCAGCCTTACAGTCCGTTGAAGGATTTTCTTGATGGCCGTGTTGGTGACATCTCGCTTCGAACTGACCAACTCTCTTAAGAACGAAATCGATAGATGGCTTCAATATGCACATGCCAGGAAAGTGCATGTGTTTGAGTTGGATTTGTCTCCATATGATGGAATGGGTGGTTACGTTAATTATGATTTTCCTCATGATTTGCTGGGCATCAGTAATGGGAATTCATCTTCCCTATCTATTCCTGATGCAATGTCTTTTGGGTTTAAGTCCCTTAGGACTTTGGCATTTAATTGTGTGTAAATGTGTGTGCACAAGTTCTCGAATTTTTCTTGCATAATTGTTCTTTTCTTGAGCGTTTGCAAGTTGAAACATGTGATAGTCTGAGGGAGTTCAAAGTTTGTGGCCCATCTCTTGCATTGAAACATCTTGTGATAATGTATTGTACCTCATGTGACCTCACTATTTGCGATACAAATATTGTTTCACTTAAAATCAGTAATGGTCAGAGGATGGTGCTTGAGAATGTTCCTATGCTTGTGGATGTTTTCACTGGGGATATATTAGGCGAATCCATTCACTGGTCAATAGTGCTATTTCACGGAGTGCTTGTTGCCTGTCGAGGCTGGAGGTTACATCGTCCAATTGGATGCGGTTAGTCTGAATTATTCTCCAAAATTTTCTTTTTGCATTGTCTCTATCCAGTCTAAATACATCTTTTTTTTTTCCTGCGCGACTCAAATGTAGCGCTTCCTCAATTAAAGCAATTAACTTTCAAAGTGTACAAGCTTTGCTTGCCTTCATTTACTTCTGTCATAAGGGCATCCCCCAAGTTAGAAAAGTGCGTGCTCAAGGTATTATTTCTCTTGCTAATCAAAATCATGCATACATATGTGATACCCACAATTTTCACTAATACAAAAACAGACATGCATCGGCCGTGTACATGAGACTTTCTGGAATGGACTGCCCATAGCAATTAAAATAATCAAATCAAAATTGATACCAGTTTTTGTTTGTTTGTTTTTTTTTGGATTAAATTTTTGTGTGATGTCTTCAAATCAATGGGTTATGTCCTTTCACTCCATATACACTGATATTCCTCTTTGTTGGTGGTAGTAGTAATGGATGAGTGTAATTTCCTACAACTATGTTTTTATTGTAGTATTAACACATTTACCTTTGTGTTTCTCTTTTTTTTTTTCCCCTCCAGCGGCGAGGTGATGATTGTGGCAAGAAAAGCTATATGAAAGAAACAGCGTATCCCCTTAAACATGTTCGAGTTGTAGAGTTATGGGGATATATCGGAAGTGCAACAGAACTTGAAGTTGTTGAATATTTCGTTAAAAATGGGGTCGTCCTGGAAAAAATAGTTATTGATCCTCGTGATCTGTCATCTAAAGGTTTTCCTGTTGCTAATATGGAGAAAGATGCAATCTACAGACGACGACGTGTCAACACTGCCAAAAAAAAAAGCTTAGGAGAATGCTGCCCCAACATGTCGAATTGGTGCTTCAAAAATATTAAAGATTAAAGATTCTTTACTAGAAGAAGAGTTTTACCTTAATTTTAGGAGGCAAGTAGAAAGTTCGATATAAGTGAAGCAAGTTCAAGACAAGACTATTCTATATACTACAGTATTACACGAATTCTATCACTTGCTTTAGTTGGTTTTGGCGATGAAAACTGGGTGAACAGTTCTCAAGAACTATGGTTAATTTTTTTCTTTTTATTAACATGAATGAGGTAAAATTCTAACGCATTAAATTTGTTACCGCAAGTAAAAAATATTAATTTTAAAACAAAGAAATGAGAGGGGAAAACATGGAAGAAACCAAAGAAATTTTGGTGATAACATAATCCACACAAGGACTTTCTTTTCACTTCCTTTCTGTCTCAGAAAAATAGTTTATATTGAATTTTGAGTTTTATACTAAAATAGTACAAACCTCAAAAGTCAAATTGTACTATTTTTTTTAAAACAAATAAAGTATTACTTAATATATTACATACCCAAAAATCACAACCATACTAATTCTGATTCGAGCTGGTTTGCCCTTTTGTCAAAGGACTTATTCTCTTTTGTACACATGGATGCAGGAACAAAATGACATTGAAGTAGGCAAACATAGAGAGTTCTAAGCCTTTTTGAACTGAACTATAAATGGGACATCACTCAAAGCAAGACGTCTTCTTCCCTTCAGGATCGCAATCCCAAAATCTCTGCATATCACTCTGCAATTATTACTTACTGTTGGACAAAAAACGAGCTTATAATCTCTGTTTTTTGCAAAACCTTGGAACTTTTCAATCTTGAGCCAGTTGTTTAGGGTTTGAGGGCCAGGATTTCCTTCCACCCCGCCACTCAGTACAAAGTGCTGTTTATGCCAAGCGTCGTAGCTGAGTTCCACACCTTCGACTGACCACAGGTGGCCGTGGTTGCGACAAACTTGATGTTTACATCGCTGGAAACACGCACCACCCCGCTGATGCTGGTTTTTGGCGGGGAAAAACTTACGGGCAGGCCGAAGTTGACTTCCAATGGGTCCTGAGCTACGTAGAGAGGGCATGTTTGGTTGCCTGAGCTGGACAGAGTGAGCCCTCCGCCGCTGCCGCGGATGACCGGAAGGATGTAGTAGCGGGAGGATGTGCGGAGGGGTTTTCCGTCGATATCGACAACTGGTTTTGGTTGTTGGGCTGTTGAAGAAGAGCAGAGGAAGGTGGTGATGTAGAGAATAATAACAAGAAAGAAAAGGGATTTCTTCTCCATTTTGAGGATGGAATTTTCTGAAGTTCTTTCGTACGGAAAACAAGAAAAGGAAATGGTTGGGGGAAAGTTATACCTTCAGGAGTACTGAAATATATATATATATATATATATATATATATATATATAATGTGTTTGACGATGCTGTTTTGAGGGGATCAACCTTCAATTTACAGTTGACTTTGCAAGCTATCCACGCTAGAGTAATGACAAACTTTTGTACTGGATGAGATTGGAGTGCAAGGTAATCCACTGTATTTTTCCCTGATTTGGTATCAAAATTGGCTTGTTATAGGATTTAAGTCAACTGGACGAGAACATTTCTTTTGAGTGCAAAATAGTGATTGGGGGTGGATTTTAAGTTTGTGGCATAGAAGAAAGTGTTTCGATGAAAATTCCTATTGCTTGACGAGTAATTTTAACTTGGTTCATTTCTAGCGTTTTGCAACTTCTCATGTCACAAAAGAGAGTGCTAATTAATGACTCCAAAACCATCTGCATAAAATTTCTCAATATGTCAATCATGTGACATATTACACTCCAGCACCCTTCCTGAATTAATCATGAATTATTCCCTCCATCTGATTGTCATCATAGTCTAATTTCTACAATAAGAACTAAATTAATTATGATACTCTCTCTGTTCCAAAATTATTGTCCAATTTAATATCTCAATTTTATTACAATTTGAACTAGAAATGAAAACCCAAACTAGACAATAATTATGAGATAGAAAGAATATTAGGTTTTGCAAGCGAGTAGTTATTTAGTGCACCCATAGCGTACCATATAGGTTGATTTGTCAACCTGATACGTTAATTTAGGTGGAAAATAATACCATCATCCCAAGAAAATATCTAGATCTTGAAAATGTATCGAGTACGTGAATCTTAAAATTGGAGTTCATCTAATGTGATAACAAAATGCTACATATATCTTTAATATAAAATCTCTTCAAACAAAAACTCGGTCAAACTATGTGAAAACCCAGTTTCATTTAATTCCCAGCCAAAAGATAACACACGTAATGTCTTTAAACCACAAATACACTTAAATAAGAAAGCACACACTAGAGCGATAACAAAGTTTGTAATCAAACTCAATCACTGGGTTTGTGAACTCGATCGGTGTCATGATCACTATCAGAATCATCATCAGCTTGTATCGGAGCGAACGTGCGACCTCCACGACACATGTTAGCGAAGGCACCCTGGCCGGCACCACCGGGAACACGAGGGATACGTGACACAGCACGCTGGGTACCTCACGACTCGGCAGAAGTCTGGTGACGTGATTTCTTGGAAACGACGTATGGCTGGCGGGAGTTCTTGGCAATGTGTCCGTGAACGTACTTCACCACATCAGGGCGGATCACGGTGGATGGTTGAGGAATGGAGTTTGCTGCAGAGGCTCCCTCCGTCGCCATATCATTCTCGGGCTGCATAATGGTAACACAGGGCGATCAGCGGCGGCGGCCATTTGGAATTGGGGGAGAAGGAAATAGGGTTTTGGCCCGATGATACTGAAATTATCTTAAAATTGGAGTTACCACATCCGTACTATACCATCTAAAATTTACTACCTCCATTTTTATTTTATTATATTTTTTTTTTTGTATCTGTCATACTTCCACGTATCCAATGTAGCATATATTAACGATAACTTCCAAGTTTTTACTTCTATTTCATATTTTTGTATATTTATAATTCTATTAATTAGGAAATAAAATATATTACACTTAAAATTAAATTCCTAATCATTACTTTCTTGATAGCATACCATAATGCGACATATATATATATATATATATATATATATAAACCGTAGGTAGTATTATGTAAAATGGATAAATACATTAGAATGTCGGTAAATTAATAATCTATAAATTAATAACTTTTAGCAATTACGTAATAATTTTCTTCGGTCTTAACTTGGGACCAGTACAAAAAGTGAAGAAAATCGATAAAATGATAAGATAATAATGTTTTAGAAAATCTCTTATATATCTATAGGTTCCAACAATGTAAATTAATAAATACCCTAAAATCCAAAAAAAATAATGTTAACTATAAATATTTAATGCAATATGAATTATTGATACTTGTTTTTTAGTCCCTAGAGATAATATAAACTGTGCATGGACATTTAATAATTCAGAAGAGTTTTAATACTTGATTAATTGGGATGTAAAGACAACTTCAAATTATGTAATCTAGTGAGGCCTTTCTTTTCTCATACAAAATCTTTAAATTAATAACATATTAATTTATCGATTATTTAATAATTCTCAAAATTAATAAATTTTTGTGGTCCCAAAACTATTAATAATTTATAGAAGTTCTTCTGTACTCTATTCAAATTTTCATATTATTTTTGATTTATAAGAATAAGTCGTGTAAATTATAAACTTTAGTTTTTAAATTTGAATATTTTTTCTGAACGGAAGAGTATTTTTTTAGAAAGAGCAAGCAACAAAATAAAGGCCACAATATTTCCTTTATGTACACGAGGACTAACTTGTTGCTCAAAAGCTCTCACTGCCACTTTTTCTTATTTAGCCCCAAAAAGAAAAAGAAATAATAAATTAATCTGGACGAATTTTGCCATTGCCGGATCAATTGCTATGATTAAGCTTCTTTGCAAAGAGTAATCTTATATTCGATATTACTCCTCAATGTTCAACTCAATTTGAAGAGCAAATTGGTGTATGGAATTGTCAGTCATGCCCAATGAATGCAAAACGGGGGGTTTTTTAAAATAATAATAATAATAATAATAATAACAATAAAATAAATTTGACCCTGGGAAAATTGAGAATTTTTTCCTTAAATATATTTTTTTATATATACATGGACAAAAATAAACCTTCCAAAAATTTTGTGGATAAACTTATATGTCTCGGATTACAGAAATCCGAATGGGGGGTAAACTCGGATTTCCAATATCCGAACCCCTATAAACTCGTTAGAGAAATCCGACTTTGTGTTACGTGAATCCGATATTAAGTTAATGACAAAAATTAGTGTAATTAATATAAATCCGAATTTTTCAAATCCGTATTTATGAATAAAATATTAATTTCTGGATAGAAAAAAAAATATGTGTTGAAAAATTAAATTTGGAAAAACCCAGATCACGGTAATCCGAATGAATGTAGATTCGGATTACCGTAATCCGAATCTCCTCTGTTTTCTGCAAAATGCTAACTCTCAGTTGGCTACATACTCGGATTTATGAAATCCGAATCCTTTACAAAAAATCTGGGTTCGGATTTCGTAAATTCGAGTCTATGTCAGAACTGAAAAAAAAAATTAGACTGGTTTTAACCAGTCCGAAACCTGTTTACAGCACCAACAACAATGAAACATTGGAAAACAGAAATTTAATGGCAACAAAATAATAAACGGCATTCGATTAATAACAAAACAAATCAAGTTTCATACCAAAATCAATACAAAAATTACTTTAAATGTGCAAAATACATCAAAGGTCTCATTTTTTCCCTTTTCCTTTATTGTGCGCATCCGGAGTGTATTTATTTGGGCCCTGCTGGATCTTGTCTCCCCTTTTAAGATACGTGAGTATTGAACTCTGTTGTGGTTGCGACTGTCCATCAAACTGAGGCTCGGGTTGGGGTTGGGATTGTGACTCCCCCATGGTGAGAAATTTGACTCCCGGTTGTGGTTGCAATTGTCCACCAAACTGAGTCTCGGGTCCACCAAGGTCAAACTGAGTCTCGGGTCCACCAAAGTCAAACTGAGTCTCGGGTCCACCAATGTCTTCAAATTGAGTATCGACCTAGATGCGCGAGCCTCGAGAAGAATGTGCTTGATCCTCATTTTGTTGACCCTCAGTTTGTTGTTGCGATGTCCGGGGAGGGGGGGGATTGGGACCTTCCTCTTTCTTCCTCCTCCAATCTTATCTCTCGACCACGGTTTCGCTTTTTTACCCGGCGGAGGTTGTGAGAGCAAAGATGGATCTTCATCAACCAGGATTTGGGTATCCTCCACGTCCATCTCATCATTTGCACCCAGGGTTAAAGCAACATGTGTTTGATTGATGATATCGTCTAAATGCTTGTCTAGTTCTTCGTCTAGGAGATTCTCATCTTATAGTTTTTCTCTAAACTTCTCGGAACTCACGCGAATGTTATTCAATACTTCATCCTGAAAAGAAATTGGGACGTTAATTAAGAGAGTAAAATTCTAAAAAGAAAAAATAAAAAATAAAATAAAATGAAAACATAAGAAATAAAAAAAATATATATATATAGAATGAACACACATATAATTTCACTCGGCTCGAAGAAGTCTCGTATCCTTGAGGTTCATAATTTTTTGGATTGGATATCAGTCTGACATTGTTCACCATGAACCATTTTTAGTACCCCTCATATACGGAGCCAGGGTCTCTTTCCTCCAAATCTCGTAGCACGTACTCTTCTCTCCTATTCCAATGACGACGTACTGCAGATATGGTAATCCACCCAATTGTTGCTAGGATACCCAGACATACTGTGGGTGTGATCGAGAAGGAATGCTGTGTTATCTTTAATCATAGGGTGCTTGGGAACATCCTGTATGTATTCAAATTGTCTCACAACTCTGCCCGACTCTTGGGGTTCCCTAATAGTCCAACAGAACATCCAACACCTGGTTGTCCAAATGGCTTGGCATTGTGTACAGAAATTAGGGAGTCTATGAAGGACCTTTGCATATGGTTGCCACCGAAACTGCACGAAAAGAATTTCATTAGATGGTATAACCGGAACGAAAAGAAATTCAAAGTAAATATAAATACCAAATTAAGTACATACATCTTCAACACACAGGCTTGTTAATTGATATCTAAAAGGTGGGGTGTTGCTCCGTGGGGCATCTCCGTAGGTGTACCTACATTTCCACCTTAATGAACAAACACGAAAGGGTACATTTGAATTAGTAAAAAAGATGAAATGAAAAACAAATAGAAATAAACATTGAGTTATTTTGAACTGAAAATAC